CTATAGTTTTCAGCTATTTGCTATGACCCTGTCATTTGTTCACCCATTCCATCCTTTTCTGGTATGTCAATCCCTCACTATATTTTTAATAGCAGTTTTTAAGTCTGTGTCTGCTAATTCTAACATCTGGGTTATCTCTGGGTCAGCATTTATAGCCCACTTTCCCCTTGATCACAAGTCATATTGTCCTGCTTCTTCATATGTTACTAAATTTTCATTCTATACTAAACATTAAAATGATACCTTGTAGAAACTATCCGTTATTCTATCTTATATGCTATCTTCCTCTAAAGAGTGTTCAGTTTTGTTCTGGTGGGTCTTGCTTGGGCTTTGTTTTAGGCTTCATTAGGATGGGTCTATTTTAGCTTATCCCTTTGTCCTGGGGTATAGTCCTTGATCATGAGGTATGATCCTTATGACCCTTTTATGGTTTCAGCGGAAGGATATTTATAAAGTCTCTCTAATTTAGTGCAATCTGAACTCTAAACTCTGGCCAGTACTAGGCAGCAGCTGAAATCTCTGCTTAGCTCTGTAGCTTCCCAGCTGTTGCTTTTTTCCTGGATTCCTTGAGGTTACACCCCGTATATATGCGTGTAGGTTAGAGAGTGCCACGGATCTGAGGGGTATTTGGATGCAGATTGGAGGGCTTCCTGCTTTATGGTTCCCTCCTTTATAGGATTTTAATCCTTAATTTCCAGCCACTTTGGCAACCTCAAACTCCAACCCTGTGTCCTCATTCCGTTAAGACTTTCTGTGTTAGTTCTGACCTCCCATTGTGTCTCATGAGCTGAGAAATGCCTTTAGGTGACAAGCTGGATACATGCGGAGCTCACCTAGTTTGCTTTCTTTCTTTCAAAGATTATGTTCACTCCAGTTTCTGCCTGTTTTTGATTATTCTCCTGGCCTTCAAAGAACGGTTTTAAATATTTTATTCAAAGTTAATAACTGTTATTGGCAGGAGAGTTAGTCAGATACAGGCTCTTCTATTATTCCAGGAAGCAGCACTCACTCCTCATGTAAATTGTCATCACCCCTTTCTGGCTTAGTGCAGGTCAAACAGGCTATGCATTTGCCCACCCACCCAGCCTGGAATATGAAAATTGACATTTTAGAGATGAAGGTGGGACAGTGAGACACAACTGTTTTATCCGTCCATGAATATTGGCTAGTTGTTTAATAATGTGTATTTAAAAAAAATCTCCAGGCTGGGCATGGTGGCTCATGCCTGTAATCCCCACATTTTGGGAGGACGAGGTGGGCAGATGGCTTTGAGCTCACAAGTTCAAGATCAGACTGGACAACATGGTGAAAGCCCACCTCTATCAAAAAATACAAAAATCAGTAGGGCATGGTGGTGGGTGCCTGTAGTCCCAGCTACTCGGGAGGCTTTGGTGGGAAGACTCCTTGAGCCTGGGAGGTGAAGGTTGCAGTGAGCCAAGATAGTGCCACTGCATTCCAGCCTGGGCAGTGGGGCCGGACCTTGTCTAAAAGCAAACAACAAGCAAGCAACACCTGTCCTGAGGCTACATTTGACCTTCAAACCACTTGCTGGGTCAAGGATGCTCAGGACTTCCTCACCTGTCCCCTCTGTTGTCATGATAGGAAACAGATCCAGAGGTTGAACAACTGCCTCTTGCAGAGGCTGGCTAGGTGCTCAGCAGAGCTGCTTTCTCCTCCTGGACACCCAGCTTAACAGCACATGCCTTCGTCCTTGGATGGGGCTATCTGACTAGTGTTCTTCCTCTTGTCTAGCAGGGGGATGATGACAGGGTAATCTTCATTCTTCTCTCTTACCACGATAATTTTAAAGACACATATTGAAGATGGTGGAGCCACAATATGGAAGGAGTCAGGTCTCTAAAAGACCACATAAGTGAAACTTTCTTCCTGACCGATATTTAACTGTGATATGGACAGGAAAGTAATCTTTGATGATGTTAAGCTACTGATTTTTTTTTATAGCAGTTGGTGCTATTTATGCTAATAAATTTTAATAGACAATACCCTAATTAGTGGTAAAAATATGACTAGAAACCCATCTCCCATTTCCTTTGATGGTTAAATATAATTCCATTCAAATATAACTTTCATAATTATTACATTAATACACTAGTTTACAAAATAGTTTATAGCAATTAGGAGCATGCTTATGAATGAATGAAAATAGTGACTTAATAAATCAAATGATAGTGACTTACCTAGAGATTGAATGCCTTTTTGTTGAAGAAAGCCGTGTAAAGCATTTGTATTAAGATTTAATATAAATCCCAGTTCTGGTGTAAGTTTCCAGAAGCCATCCTACAAAATTAAGAAAACAAATTTAAGTTATTGACATTTTACCACATAAGAAGTTATGTAGTGGGGCAGCAAGAGGGACAAGGGTTGAAAAACCTACGTTCCCTACTCGGGCAGCAAGATAATTAGAAGCCCAAACCTCAGCACCACACAGTATGGCCATGTAATAAACCTGCACCCCTGTGTACGCCTGCATCTAAAACCTGTGTACCCCTGCATCTAAAATAAATTTTAACAAAGTAAATAACAAAAGAAGTTATGTGATAAATAAAATAAGCGTTCATTTATTTAACTTCAGTTAATTAAGGCATTTCTAAAATTTTTATTACTGTAAAATCAAGTTCTCCATACACTAGTGACATAGTTTGAAACTTCGTAAATGTTATGAACACTATGTATCTGATGGCATTTATAAAAAGTGTGGAAAGAGGCTCATGTGTAGAGGTTTTTAAAATGGTACTTTTTTTCTTCTAGTGATGCTTTATTTCATGTTTTATGGATACATAATACTTGCACGTATTTTGGGGTACACATGATATTTTGATATATGCCTAGAATGTGAAATAATCAGGCCAGGATATTTAGGATCTCCATCAGCTCTATCATTTATCATTTCTTTGTGTTGGCAACATTTCAAATATTTTCTTCTAGCTATTTGGATGTATACTATGTATTGTTAACTATAGTCATCCTATTGCATTAACAACTAGCAATGAGCAATGAATCAGTATTTCCAAACTGTTAAATAGCATGATTCCCTCTTTAAAAAAAATCCACTTTGTCGAAATAAGATTGCCACACAAAATGTCACTGTATTTAATGTATACAACTTGATGTACAGATAAGTGTACACCCCTGAAACCATCACTCATCAATGCCATACACTTAGTCACCACTTCCAGAACTGTTCTTCTTCCCCTTTTGTTTTGTTTTATTCCATTGCATGGAAAGAGTGCTTAACATAAGACAGACCTCTTAGCAAATGTTTAAGTATACCATAGCGGATTGTCAACCATAGGCCCTGTCTGATACAGTAGATCTCCAGCATGATTCCTTTTGTTTACCCTAACAATGTTCCCTGTAGTCTGAAATATGACAATCACAGTTTTTTCTAAGTATAAAATGGTTATATTAAACATTACTTTAAAAGTACCTTCCTTTAACCCCTGCCCCCATCCACCACATCATCTGCCTGCCCCATCCCACGCATAGGAGAGTGTGCTGAGCCTGAGCTTGGGGATATTCATCTCAAAGAAGACAGAATCCAGGTCTCAGGGAAACTAACATACGGAGCAGAAAGCAGGGTGCAGCCCCAGGCAAGTGCGCAGGCTGAAGGATCTATGGCAATAGTTTGACAAATGACAGCAGTGATAATATGTACCAACCTACAGAGAATTGGTACCCGTGCTCTCATATGTTTAGCCACTTCCTGTGGAGCACTATTATCACCCCCACATTGCAGGTGAGAACACGGAAGCACAGGAAGGTTAAGCAATTTGTCTAAAGTCACACAGCTACCAAGCAACAGAGCCAGGAGTGGCCACGGGATCCACTCTTGCCCATCTGCAGTATGCTCCTGGCAGGCTTTCACGTGCACTGTCTCAAGGAGGGAAGCTGGGCAGCTGTGATTATCCTGTTTAAACCTCAAACCCAGTCTCTGAAGTAGACACTATCATTATCCCCACTGTATGGATGAGGAAACTGAGGCTCACACAGGTTATCTGACTAGCCCCAAATCACGAGGTGGGCTGGGACTTAGACGTAGTTTTACGCTCTATCGGGCTTTTCCATTTCACTAAATTACTTTACATCAAAACAAGTAATTGCAGATGGAAGATTGGGTCTTAGTCCCAGTGCAGGGGCCAAATTTACAGGAATGATAAGCTCTAACACAATATACATGTTGAGTAATATATATACTCCCATGATCCCATGTGAAAAGATTTAGGGTGTATGTACAAGGGCTCGTGCTCTACTTCACAAGGGGAAATTTATATGGATTACAATTCATTAGTGCTAGAATCTAGGAAATTAAGATCTCACCCCATCATCTGTTCAGGGATGTTCATTTTTTTTTTTTGAGACGGAGTTTCGCTCTTATTACCCAGGCTGGAGTGCAATGGCAGGATCTCGGCTCACCGCTACCTCCGCCTCCCGGGTTCAGGCAATTCTCCTGCCTCAGCCTCCTGAGTAGCTGGGATTACAGGCACGCGCCACCATGCCCAGCTAATTTTTTGTATTTTTAGTAGAGACGGGGTTTCACCATGTTGACCGGCCGGGCGCGGTGGCTCACGCCTGTAATCCCAGTACTTTGGGAGGCCAAGGCGGGTGAATCACAGGGATGTTCATTTTCATGTGAGGAACAGTAACATTCACCAGCATGAGGCTCTGGTCTCATGTTGGTGAGGAAACACCAGCCAGCATCAAGCACACTGTTTTGTTCAGCCGTCTGTTTTGTTTTGTAGCAAGAGTTCATCAATGAAGGAAGCAGTACGATTTACACCCCAGGGCACAAGCCCCTCACTTCAGTACAGACTGACAAGAGACAGTTCCTTTTCAAGAGAACAGTGCTTTGAGTAGCACTGTTCTAAGCTATGAAGCCAGCAAACCACAGATCTAAGGAGAAGTAAGACACATACCTCTGTCTGTAGACTGAAGAGTTCTGTCCAAGGCCCAGCATCCAGCCAGCGTTGTGTGCACACTACTTCATCTTCCTCTATTCCTTCCAGCAAGCACGGGGTACTGTCAACTGTTGTGTCACCATGTAATTGTAAATAGCCACAATTTCTAGGTACTTCTGATAGCTCAACACTTTCTGTTTCAGAAGTCTGAGAAACTAAGTCAAGCCGTTGACTTCCTTCGGGACTGCCCACTGATTTCTCTTGAACAGAGAGATCTGCTGAGGACCGACGGCAAAGAGGCTCAAGTACGACTGGCAGCCCGACGTTGGTACTGAAAGAGGCTGGGGAAGGTTGAAAATGAAAAGGAGAGGAAGCAGAGGGCTGATAAGACCCAAAACCTTTGATGGGATCAGGGTCCGCGGGAAGACAGGAATGAAGCTGGGGAGAATGCAGCTTAGGGAAGGTGCCAGCGAGAGGCCTGCTCATCGGGCGCCCGGGAGGTTTCGGTGGAGCAGACTGTGTGGAGAACAACGAGCCCCCAAAAGCAGAGCCACAGAGGGGTGGCAAAGGTGGGTTCTGAGGAGGCCCTATGGGACAAGACAGGAGCTGTGGGATGCGGGCAGCACCACGGCGAGGCACAGGGCCGTTTCTGAAGTCAGACGCGTCAAACTGTCTGGGAGGAGCAGCAAAACCCAAACTAGGTAACTGAGGAAATGAGGCGAGAGGCATGGAAGCAGGACTGGGAGAGCCGGCAGCCTGGAAAAAAGAGGAACCAGAGGCTGGAGCAGAAGAACCGAAAAGGCTGGAAGGAGACGTTTCCAGTGAGCCGACTTTCTTAAACAGTGGCTCGGTTGCTGCTGCTTTAAATGACTGTGTCCAACTTAAATCTAGTATCTTTTCCTCGTCTCCACGTTCCACATTTGATGTGAAACCCTCTGGTACAGCTAAGCCATCCTCTTCAAAATCTTCAGAAACTTGTGACTTAGATAACTTCATTTTTTTTTTAGACGAACGTTTTTTCCGTTTGCATGAAAATACGTCTTGCCCCTCTGAGGATGCTAAAAGAGGCTGCCCAGAGGAAAGAATTATTAATGTAAGAGGAGAACACAAAATAAAAAGAACAATCAAGCAAATATTCTTCCTGGCCCTTGACTGCCCACCCATCAGGCAATTGCTCATCCAGAATCAGGGCTCATCAGTGTGAACTGAGATGTTGAAAATAACACCAGTGCTGCGCACGCCGGCTCACACCTGTAATCCCAGCACTTTGGGAGGCTGAGGAGGAAGGATCGCTTGAGGCTAGGAGTTTGAGAGCAGCTTGGGTGACATAGCGAGATTCCATCTCTACAAAAAAGAAAAAATTAGCCAGGTACAGTGGCTTACGCCTGCCGCCCCAGCCACTTGGGAGGCTGAGGCAGCTCTGAATGCGGATTTGCACTACTGCTCTCCAGCCTGGGCGAGAGAGCAATACTCTGTCTCAAAAAAAAGGAAAGAAAATAACACCACTGAGCCATTCAAAATCATTTCAGTACAAGCCTCTCTTTTCTAGATGTGAAAGCCGAGACCTGGAGAGAACATCAGCTATCAATACCTTGAAAGACCTTCTCTCTTAGTTTTAGAATTGTGGAATTTTGAACACCCCTCGTTTCACACATCAGGAAACTGAGGAGCAGAGAAGTGACTTGCCCGAGGTTCATGATGAGCAGTGTTAGCGTGTGTGAGTTAGGCCTGAAATAAGAGAGTCATTTGAAGTAAATTATTCCGTCTTTTATGCTGTTTTATGGCAATATTAAGAAAATGAAAAAATGGAAAAACATTCTCAAAAGCTTTGTTTTTATTTCTTTATTTTTTTTGAGACAGGGTCTTGCTCTGTCGCCTGAGGCTGGAGTGCAATGGCACAATCACAATCAGTACAGCCTCAAACTCCAGGGCTCAAGAGATCCTCTCACCTCAGCCTCCTCAGTAGCTGGGACTACAGGCATGTGCCACCATGCCCAGCTAATTTTTATTTTTATTTATTTATTTTTTTTAGAGATGGGGTTTCACCATATTGGTCAGGCTGGTCTCAAACTCCTGACCTCAGGTGATCTGCCTGCCTCAGCCTCCCAGAGAGCTAGGATTACAGACGTGAGCCATCGTGCCTGGCTCCAGCTGATTTTTAAATTATTCTTTTGTAGAGATGCGGTCTTGCTATGTTGACAGGCTGGTTTTGAACTCCTGGGCTCAAGTCATTCCTCTCAGCTCGGCCTCTCAGTGCTAGGATTACAGGCATGAGACACTCTTTCCATCCAAAAGCTTTAAAGTAATTAAATGAACATAGAATTATACCAGAAGATGAACCATATCTATGGAAAACCAATTTTGAGGGATGCTATATTACTATTATTGTCCCAATTTAAATGTCAACAGTGTTCCTTAAGAAGCTTGCAATGTAAATCAAATCCAGTTTTGCATGGATGACAAGTCCTTGATATCCCTGAGATCATTAGCCTGTAATTTTACCTATGAATAATAACTATGTTAAAAAGGAGTAGTCCTTTCCCAGCTTAGTCAAATTTCAAGTAAACACTTGAATAATTAATACCATAGAAGATAGGAAAAGACACACTTAAAAATAATATTTAAAAACAATGCTTATCTGATTTAATTTTTATATGTATATATTTTATTGCTCTGTAGGTTCTGGGGTACATGTGCAGAACACGCAGGATTGTTCCGTAGGTACATCCAGTGGCAATGTGGTTTGCTGCCTCCATCCCCGGCACCTGTACCTGGCCTTACTCCCCGCGTGATCCCTCCCCAACTCCCACCCCCACTGTCCCTCCATCTGGTTACATTTTTTAAAAATTAGAGAAGCAAACTGAAAAAGACCCATAGTGATGAACTAGACCTGTCAGATATTAAAGTCTCTTATAAAATTACAATAATTCTAGTAGATGAATCAATCGAACAGAGTAGATAAGTCCAGCCATAGCTCCTAAAACATGAGAATTACTAGATTAAAAAGGTGGCATTTCAAGTTGATAGGAGAAAAAGTAGTAGCCATCTGGAAAAGAATAAAGTCGGTTCCATATCTCTTATCCTATGCCAAATTTCAATCAGGTGAAAAATTAAATGTAAACATAAAAACATAAAACTATTTAAAGAAATAAAGGGAAAATACAAAAATTAGCTGGATGTGGTGGCACGCACCTGTAATCTCAGCTACTTGGAAGATGAGGCCAGAGAATTGCTTGAACCCAGGAGGCGGAGGTTGCAGTGGGCCGAGATCGTGCCATTACACTCTAGCTTGGCAACAGAGCGAGACTCCGTCTCAAAAAAAAAAAAAAAAACAAGTCTCCCTCCAAACCCAAGCCCACTTGTCAGCTTTCTGACCCATCTGTTTGGGAAACAGCGCCCATTTCAGACACCTTGGCTAATAATAACTACAGCTAATATTTGTTGAATGTCTGTCACGAGCTAGACACGTTCTAACGGTCTTAGAACGTTTCACAACCGCCTAAGGCTGATTTTATTGCTCTCCCACTAGAGCATTCATTAGGACTGGAGCCCTGGGAAGGTCAAGTCCCACAGAGCTAAGTGTGGGCTGGGGTTCAGACCTGAGCACTAGGCCACAGCACCTGTGATCTTAACCACTCTATTTTACTGGCTTCAATGATCTACCTTTTGTGATCTTTGCCAACCTGACAGAGTTAAAAAATAAAAAGGAATCTCATGGCAGTTTACATTTTAACTTCTTTTAGCAACAAGGTGGCACATCTTTCATATATGATTTCCTTATTTATGATCAAATGCTCACTCTGTCGCCCAGGCTGGAGGGTAGTGGTGCCATTTTGGCTCACTGCAACCTCTGCCTCCTGGGTTCGAGCATCCTCCCACCTTAGCCTCCTGAGGAGCTGGGATTACAGGCACGCTCCATCACATCCAGTTCATTTTTGTACTCTTTGTAGGGACGGAGTTTCACCATGTTGCCCAGGCTGGTTTTGAACTTCTGGCTCAAGCTACTGCTGTCTCGGCCTCCCAAAGTGCTGGGATTATAGGCGTGAGCCACTGCGCCTGGTCTAAAAAACTTATTGTAGAGATGAGGTCTCGCTTTGTTGCCCAGGCTGGTCTCAAAGTCCTGGGCTGAAGTGATTTTCCCACCTCAGCCTCCCAAAGCGCTGGGATTACAGGCATGAACCACAGTGCCCGAGCAGATTTTAAATTCTTCAATTTTGGAGATTTTAGTTTTGTAACCTAGAGACCTAAGAGTGTCGTAGCACTACTTTGTCCCTTTGCTCTTGAATTTGTCTTCCAATGTTTATTTAGCCTCGTCTTCCCTTTCCCTTTCCTTTCCCGTTTCCCTTTCCTTCTTTCCTGTCTCCCTCCCTCCCTCCCTCCCTCCCTCCCACTTCTCTCCCCCCCTCTCTCTCTTCCCTCACCATCTTGGCTCACTGCAACCTCCACCTCCCAGGTTCAAGTAATTCTCCTGCCTCAGTCTCCCGAGGAGCTGACATTACAGGCATGCACCACCGTACCCAGCTAGTTTTTTATTTTTAGTAGAGATGGGGTTTCTCCATGTTGGTTTCGAACTCGTGACCTCAGGCGACCCGCCCACCTCAGAATCCCATAGTGCTTGGATTACAGGTGTGAGCCACCGCGCCTGGCTTAAGCCACATTTTTCCATTTCTATTGCGTTTCTGGTTCCAAGGGCCACAGTATAAAGCACTATAACTTTAGGAAATATTGGTGGTGAATTTAGATGATTAGATAGGACTTTTATTGATAATTTCATGACAAACCTATCATACTATCTAAATGACTTCAGCTTCCTGGATGACAATCTATTTGCCCATAACAGAAGCACAGCCACAGGTGCTCTCTTTTTGTATCACACAGCTCCACTCACACATTGTGAAGTTTCTGTAATGCAACATGATGTGATTCAGCATTTTATAAATGTGTGAATATTTTCCCTCATCAGGGATACGACAATCTCTTTATACACAGGTAGTAAGAGAACTATTTTAGCAAAGGGTTCCCTTCATCTTCATGAAAAAACAAAAGGACAATATCAACTTATTTGGTCATCAGCATTTACCTGGTCCAGGACAGTTTCTTGGGGTTCCCCCTGCCAGCTCATGTAGGGCAGGAAGTCTACGTCTTCTTTGGCAATAAGTTCAGAAACTTTTGGAATATCAGAAAAAGGCGACTTCTTCTCATCCTATATCGAATCACAAAGAGATGAAATCAAACAGACGTGATCCAATTAAATGATGGTTACACATTCTAAAGCCTGTGGGTGTGTCGGTTTGGGGTATGCTGCTGTGTGGGACTGGAGCGTGTGCCCTGGGCCACAAGTGGGAGGGGAGGCAGGAGGTGGGTGGCTTTGCTCTTCATGGAGCGTTCGCAGGTGCTGGTCACCGTGCTGGGCATGTTGCAGGAATTGTCCCCTTAAACTTGTGAAGCGGGAAGAGGCTCTTAGAGAGCCCAGGCCTTTTCTATATTTTGAGAGTCTCGGATGAATAAAAGACAAGAAATGCCAAAACTGAACAAAATCATAGTAGATCTGAAAAATACACATTAGCTAAGTATTAACGATAATTATAACATTAAAAATGATAAATACTCAACTCATTTAGAAAGATCACTGGAAGTCCTAACACCGAGGCCCCTCATGAATTGGGACTCATGGGGCCGACTGGCCTGTCTGCAACTCATGATTCACAGGCCCAGGGCATGGGTATCGTCATTAACCATGACAGCAAAGGTGACTTCCTTAACGTGGAAATACAAATAAATAAAATAATTTAACCTCGAATTAACAATGATACATACCCTTTTCTCAACTGCCACAAAGCTTGTAAACTGTGTTATGAGAGAGTTTTCTTTACTGAGTTTAATAATCAGAGATTTCAAGGTGTGTTTCTTCATCTAGGATAGAATAAAACATAAGTCATATCCTGTTTTATTTATTTCTATTTAGCTATGTCAGCAAGTCATTTTAAGATTCGTATTTCAGACTAAATATTGTATCGCAGGCCCCGTCCAAATAGGTGACTCAATGTTCCCTTTCAAATGGGATCGACTGAGCCGGGCGCGGTGGCTCAAGCCTGTAATCCCAGCACTTTGGGAGGCCGAGGCGGGTGGATCACGAGGTCAAGAGATCGAGACCATCCCGGTCAACATGGTGAAACCCCATCTCTACTAAAAATACAAAACATTAGCTGGGCATGGTGGCGCGTGCCTGTAATCCCAGCTACTCCGTAGGCTGAGGCAGGAGAATTGCCCGAACCCAGGAGGCAGAGGTTGCGGTGAGCCGAGATCACGCCATTGCACTCCAGCCTGGGTAACAAGAGCGAAACTCCATCTCAAAAAAAAAAAAAAAAAAAAAATGGGATCGACTGACTTAGTCATAGAAAATGTCACTCTCCATTATTCAGCTCCCAGTAGTTCAGAGAGCGCTCATGTGCACTGGACTTCCTCATTCTTTCACAGCCTGTGGCTCCCAATTTAAAGCTGAGGAACTGGAAAGACAGAATGACTTGTTCAGGATAAAAGGGCCTGAAAACAGCACACAGAGGCGGCCAATCCATGGCATCTGAGGAGAATAGGGAGATCGCCAGGTGACCATCTGTCACCAGAACTGACTGCGGGGGTCTCCAGGGCCTGCTGTCCTGTCACGCTGGCACCTTCTTGTGGCATCGAGGACTAATGCTCACAGCTGTTGAAGATCTCATCCCTAAGAGACCAGCTGGGCAGTCCTGGTGGCCTGGCTGAGTGGCCCCTCTGCTGAAGCCCTGGTCCGCACAGCACGGGGGGAGTCAGGTGGGCTTTGGCAGGTCACTCAGCCTTTTGTACCCAGGCCTCTGCTTAGTAAGATGGGAATACTAACACTACCACGTGCAAGATCTGAGATGATATCTACTACGGGCACTCAGTGAGTGTTCTCTGAGCTCTCCTCAGGCTTCTTTCTGATTAGTCAAAAAAACACGGAACTTTTCAGAAACCACTGACATCCACTCTTTTGTTAATTCATTCAACAAACATTTACCGCACACCCCACATCCCAGGCACAGTGTCACAGATACAGTGATGAATGCCCTGACACCACAGTTTCCTTCTCCATGCAGCTGACCTCACTTTCCATTTCCACAGATACATCAATGTAAGAATGCTCAAGAACTAATGTCTAATAGATTTTACAGTGAAAAGAACAAACCTCATGACTGGTTTCATTTTCGTGAAGAATGCCATCTTCATAATCTCTGATTAGAGCTCGGGCTGCCAGCTTGTGGATCATCTGTGTTTAAGCAGTAAAGAAAAAAAAAGATTCTTATGGCTTCTAATAAAAGACTTGCAAAGAACATCATTTTCAAAATCGAGGTATAATCTGCATATAGTAAAATACACTCCTTTTAAGTGTCCAGTTCAATGAGTCTTAATGGATGCATATGATTATGTGACCACTGTCGAAGTGAAGACACAAAACATTCACTTTACCCTGAAAAGTTCCTGTGTACCCCTATGCAGTCTCCCCCAGCTCTGGCAGCTTCTTATCTATTTTCTGTCCCTAGAGTTTTGCTTTTTCTATAAAAGGCCATTTTGCTGATACAATTTATTTAAAAAATTCACAATTTTTTTTCTACCATAGGAAGAGCCACCTTGGTGCTGGGATGCCCATCCATGAACATGGTCTACACTCTGCAGGGTGAGGACTGCACGGTGTGCACCACCAGGTGCTTCCTCTCCAACAACTAAGAGATGGAACTTTCAGTAATTTCAACTTTTGTAATTTTGTCATTGATAAGGCTGCTTCTCACAGAGGAAGCACAACTTTCTGTGACTTATGGAAAATGGCCTCTTCCCAGGTGAAATATTTTTACCTTCTTTCCCTCTAGATCTAATTTTAAAAAATACACTTCTAATTTATTCTCCCTTATCATTACCCACAAAGATCTCATTTTTAAAGCAATACAGAGCTAAAGTTCTATATGTAAGTCACTGGCAACTAATAAGTCAATGATATTGATTTAGTGCTGAAAAGTAAGCTATATATTTTTGAGACAAAAACCAGCAATGTCTGGGAAATGATATATCTGGCTATACTAATACTCTTCTGAATTAAAAAAAAAAAAAACAAAAAAACCCAAAAAACAACTACATAATAGCATATATAGGCCAGGAACTTTCAAGGCTAGACTACAATGGATTCAGTATTAGTGCAAATACTGCAAACTTCTTGGTAATAATTTATGATATTGTGATATGCAGAAAGCTAAAGTAGGCAACCCCAAAAGATATTTTTTTTGGCATATTTTAAGATGGCTATTCGGAGGGACAGCAGACACAGGAATAGGTCTGAAAAGCAGTCCTTTTGTGGGGAATATCTGCATCTGCAGAGGAATCCTGTGCCAGCGAAGTAAACAGCAGATGCAAACAGGCTCTCTCTGAGACCTCCTCATTTGCCTTACCCCGATCTAGGAAAGATGAACTCCCAGGAAGAAGAGACTAAAGTCTGATACTCTAAAGCTGATGATAGAGAAACAGTTAGCAGAGGTGCTTCTGTTCTCTCTGAGTGCTGCTGCCTGCCAGACGTCCTCTGCATCACAAGAAAGCCTTGGCTCACCATGCGTCTCCTCCCCTCACCCTCCCACAACCTGTCCCCATCTCCCCACAGGAGGCCCATGCCCCTACCCACTTCTGTACAGTATAAAACTTCACTCATCTGGCCCTTCTTTGAGTCTCATGTGGCTCCTCCACATAAAACAAAATGTGCGTATCTTTTCCCCTGTTGGATTATTTTATAGACCAAACGTAAGTTTCAACTCCTCTACGGACCTAAGATATACGTATATTTGTTATTCCTAACAAGATCCTTCAACCACACCTGAGTTTATGTTAATTAGGTGGCTTTTAGAAAGTCCCTAGGATGAGGATTGGTTGCTGGGGAACCAACCACATGATGAGAGGGCTGGAACTTTTAGCCCCACACCCCAGCCTCCAGAGAGGGCAGAGTTAATCACCAATGGCCAATGATTTAATCAACTGGGGCTTTGTAATGAAACCTGCATTAAAAACCCCACCTAAAGCGGTTCAGGGGGTTTCTGGGTTGGCATTCATGTGCCAGGAAGGTGGTGCACCCCAACTCTATGTTAGACAGAAGCTCCTGTGCTTGGGACAATTCTGGACCTCACCCTATGTACCTCTTCCTCTGGCTGTTCATTCATATCCTTTATAATCTTTGGAATAAGTCAGTCATACTAAATAAACTTTTCCTGAGTTTTCTGAGCTGTTACAGCAAATTACTGAACCTGAAAAAGGGTTGTGGGAACGCGGATTTGGAGCTGATCAGAAGTGGGGGTAACCTGGGGAACCACTACTTGCTACTGATGTCCAGAGTTGGGGCCAGGCTTGCGGGGCCGAGCCCCTTACCCTGTGAGGTCTGTGCCAACCTCAGGCAGCTAGCGTCAGAACTGAATTAAATAGTAGGACATGCAACTGACGGCAGTGAATTGGCTGGGAAAAAACACTTATCGAAGAACCAGAAATGGTGTGACTATGGAAAACCAGGAGTTTTTTTCTTTCATAATTCATTTGCTTTTAATAAAAAAATGGAAAAACCCCACATCCTCAATATATGATATCATCTACTCTTAGTTCAGTACTGTGATAACTAATACTTCTAAATAGTGTCAATAGACCAGTGGCATTTAACTTTTGTTGAGGTATGAACATCTTTGAGAACCTCTCTAGAAACATCTCCATGCATCAATACCATATTTAATTGCAGTTATCCCACCTACTGATGCCCATATAGACCTGCCTAGCTCCAACCACCCCAGATGGAAAAGTGCTGAGTTAGAAACTGAAGGAAAGTCTACTCATTTATACAGATATGCCAACTCTGTATCGTGTAATGAAATTTCAGCACAGGAAAACAATGAGGTACAGACAGCAGGGGCGTCCAATCTTCTGGCTTCCCTGGGCCACAATGAAAGAAGAACTTGTCTCAGGTGACAAAACATACGCTAACACGATAGCCGATGAGCTAAAAAAAAAAGTTGCAGACACATCTTATAATGTTTTAAGAAAGTTTACGAATTTGTGTTGGGCTGCATTCAAAGCTGCCCTGGGCCACGGGCTGGACAAGCTTGAAATAGAGCATTATATATGGAAATGTAAAACAGTAACTTTCAAACAATGGGTCAGTTAGTTTAGGTTTGGAAGCTTACAGTTCCAGTTGTCTTCTGAAGCTCAGTAGTTGACACCATTGTACTAAATTCTTTCTCTTGAATGAATGCACACAGGGTTGCCTGAAACGGGAAAAAAAATAAATTCTTCACTAGGCTTTCCACTCTGCAGGTTCTTGGTTTAACAGAAACTCTTTTGGTGATTTTTCTCTCCCCACAAAGCCCTGGCTAACTACCAGCTATGTTCCCAGAAGAAAACCTGCTGGTGAGAAGGTGAGGGAAGAAAAGAAAAAAAAAGAAATCAGCAAAATATATTGGTCTGCCCGTAGAATGACCAACTCTGCACCTTCTTACCTGTGTGCAGTGTGGAATGAATCCATAGACAAGGAGTCGATCATTGCGAAACAAGGACGGCACCTGGGCTGGGGCCTGCAGGGCCTCGGGAGCATCTGGATCGAGTTGCTGCCATTTGACTGAGACAGAGTGGCAACCAGGAGAGCACAGCCTGGTCATTTGGTCTTCTATCTATTTAGAAAAGAGGAGTTACTTCTCTTTCAATGGTCCATCCAGAAAATAGTTACTTCACATTTAAAATAAAGCATACATTCTATCCTTTGGGAGTTTTATAACTCTTTGGTATTTTTTCTCCTTCCTGCTACAAGGTACTTTTCCAAAAAGATTTTAAACAGAATTTATTTATTTATTTATTTATTTTACTTTGAGACGAAGTCTGGCGCTGTTGCCTAGGCTGGAGTGCAGGGGTGCGGTCTCGGCTCACGCCTATTCCCGCCTCCCAGGTTCAACTGATTTTCTTGCCTCAGCCTCCCAAGTAGCCGAGACTACAGGCACGTGCCACCACATCTGGCTAATTTTTGCATTTTTAGTAGAGATGGGGTTTCACCGTGTTGCCCAGGCTGGTCTTGAACTCCTGACCTTAGGTGATCCACCTGCCTCAGCCTCCCAGAGTGCTAGGGTTACAGATGTGAGCCACCACGCCCAGGTAGAATTTTAACTAATAGTATGACCACATCCTTCCCCTTTACAAAGCATCCTGAAATTATTCCATTGGCTAATTACTAATATGCAACTTTGGCAGGAGTAGATTCCAGTACTTGAATAGACATTTCTCCAAAGAAGATACACAAAAGCCATGAAAAGTGTGCGTGAAAAGATGCTTGATGTCACGAGTCATTAGGGAAGTGCAAATCAGAACCACAATGATCCCATGTCACACGCAGTGGGATGGCTGTTATTAAAAGACAGGTAGGTGGTGGCTGGGCAGAATGGCTTATGCCTGTAATCCCAGCACTTTGGGAGTTCAAGGTAGGTGGATTGCTTGAGCTTGGGATTCAAAACCAGTCTGGGTAACATGGCAAAACCCTGTCTCTACAAAAAATACAAAAAATTAGCCTGGTGTGGTGGTGTGGGCCTGTAGTCCTACCTACTTGGGGGGCTGAGGCAGGAGGATGGCTTGAGACCAGGATGCCAGGGCTGCAGTGAGCCAAGTATGCGTGGGTGACAAAGTGATACCCTGTCTTAAAAAAAAAACCAACAACCAACCAACAAACGAAAAACAAGAAGAAAAAAAAGTGGTGGCGTAGGTCTGTAGTCCCAGCTACTCTGGAGGCTGAGGTGGGAGGATCACTTGAGCTCAGGAAGTTGAGGTCGTGGTGAGCTATGATTGCACTACCGCACTCCCACCTAGATGACCGCTCGACACGGTGTCTCAAAAACAAAACCAAACAAAACCAAAGAAAAGCTGATTGATTTCAGTCAATGTGGGAAAAAAAAAAGGATGATGAGTGTTGATGAGGATGTGGAAAAACTGCAGTCCTGGTGCACTGGCGGTGAGGATGTAAAATGATACAGCTGCTATGGAAGACTGCATGGCGATCCCCCAAAAAACTAGACATAGAACGACCACAGAATCCAGCAATCCCGTGCTGCGCGTATATCCAGATTTGAAAGCAGACGCAAACAGACCCTCGTATACTAATGCTCATAGCAGCATTCTTCACAAAAGCCAAAGGCTAGAAACAACCTAAATGTCTACAAACAGATGAATGGATATGCAAAATGCGGTCTCTCCATACAATGGAGTATTATTCAGCTTTAAAAAGAAGGGAAATTCTGACACATGCTGCAACAGACATGGATGTTAAAAACATGCTCAGTGAAATAAGCCAGATGTAAGAGGACAATGTCTGATGACTTTGCTTATATGAGATACTCAGAATCGGCAAAGTCATAGAGATGGAAAGTAGAGTCGTGGTTCGCTGCGGCTGGGCATAGGAGGGAATGCGGAGTTACGGTTTAATGGGTACATATTTTCTGTTCGGGATGATGAAACAGTGAAGATGGTGATGGTTGCACAGCATTGTAAATGCAGCTAATAGCACTAAGTTGTACACTTAAAAATGGTTAAAATGCTAAATTTTATCATAGTCAAGAAAATTAATTTCAGCAAAACATATTTAATAATTCACTTTAAAAAATTCAGTCCATGATTTTTCAGGCAGAAATCAAACTGTGAGCTGGGAGAATGGCCTGATTCAGAACTCCCGTGTTCCTGCTGGTGCAGTTCTGAGGCAGGGCTCACACCGGCGGCAGCCCGTGCCTCTTCGTGGCTTCCATCTCATTCGAGGAAACACAGATGTTCCTATCGCTTAGCCTTGGAAGGATGTGAGATTTCCACACGTAAATACAAAACCAGAGGTTTAAAAAAACATACCTGTTTTCTCCAACTATGCTTGGATTTTGCATTAAAATATTCAAATACTCCGGCACCATACTGGGACAAAATCCTTAAGATGTGACGATTTGCTGTAGAACTGATCACATTTCACGTTTTAGTTTTCAAGACATTGGAGAAATATTCTTGAAGTACACGTTAACAGCGTTGAGAAAGCTCACAACTCAAGAGGAGAGACGTTACATGGAAGAATGTACTCTCGTGTAGCTGAGGTTAAACAGAGAAGATGGTAACCGGAGAAAACATCTGAAAGTTTGGCTAATTTGAGCTCTCATATATCAGAGCACTGAGTTATCCTTCAAACAGAAAAAGGTTGAAATTCTTGACTTTCAATTTACTGAAGGAGGGAATAGATGACTCTAAAAACAACCCTACAAGGTATCAGAATGCTGAGAAAGATATCAACTTAATTTCAATAAATAGCAACATGCTTCCGACACGGTCGCCATTGGAGAGTAGCAGCCATGGCTCTTCGGTGTCCTATGGCTGTGGGCCTCAACATGGGCCACAAGGTAACCAAGAAGGTGAGCAAGCCCAGGCACAGCCACCGCTGCAGGTATCTGACCAAACACACCAAGTTCGTGTGGGACACGGTGCGGGAGGTGTGTGGCTTTGCCCTGTATGAGTGGCGTGCCATGGAGTTGCTGAAGGTCTCCAAGGACAAACGGGCCCTCGAGTTCATCAAGAAAAGGGTGGGGACACACATCTGGGCCAAGAGGAAGCGGGAGGAGCTGAGCCATGTCCTGGCCGCCATGAGGAAAGCTGCTGCCGAGAAAGACTGAGCTCCCTCCCCTGCTGTCTCCCTGAAATAAAAAACAGCTGTACCCACCCCCTCAGAATACATAACAACATTACCTGAATCTGACCCCAAAGGCCTAATGCTGGCAAAGAGTGAACAAAGATTACCTCTTAAAATCTGAGACACATCAACACAGCAAAAGGCATAAAGGAGCAATTCTCACTATAGCAAAGAGCATCTCTGACATTTAAATGACAAGTGCCCTGTTACTTTTCTCTCTACAATAATCCTACGACTATCGACTCCTTGCTTAGAGGTGTGCCTCCTGAAATGCTAAAGAAAAGATCAATTACTTTTCAGAAAAAGAACTTACGAAAGTAATTTCCAAGACGTTTTTCAACCCATTGATAAAGACTGGACTTGTCTTTATCCTCCATATTAATTGGTAATGATCATGACACTGACTAGAAGATCCTTAACATGGGTTACTGGTAGTTACAGCTTCTGTCTGTTAGCGAGGCAGGCTGGAATCTTCCTGTGCTCCCCTGTGTGGCTCTCAGAGGACGAGCACTCATGCCAGGGAGGAGGTTGGATGGTCTCTACCCTTGGGAAGCTCACTTTACTAGAGTTTGTAATGGCAAAGACATGCGTGGAAGATGCGACGCAGAAGCACTTAGAAAGATCCCCAAAACTCAATGGAAAAGCAGAACGGATCCCAGCCCCTCCAGGCATGGGCAGCGCTAACCAGCACAGTCTCCTCTGGGAGCAGGCTCCTCCACTACACACCCAGACTCCCCATTGGGTGCCTTACAATTTTTCTAATGAAAAAAAAAATTTTTTTTAAAGATGGGTCTTGCTCAGTCACTCAGGCTGGAGTGCAATGGCCCAACCATGGCTCACTGCAGCCTTGACCTCCTGGGCTGAAGCAATCTTCCTGCTTTGGGCTCCCAGAGTGCCGGGACCACAGGTGTGAGTCACTGCCCCTGACCTGATCACACTCCCTTGATTGCCTCCCCGGCACATGGGAAAATCCCACCTCCCGGCCCCAGAGTCGGGGCCTGATGTTCGTCTCGGGATAGACCCTCATTGAGGAAGGTATGAATTAGGTGCCAGCGCTTCTGCTCTGTGGTGTCTGAGCCCTGACCTGGGAGCAGGGGGCAAGGAGGGGCTGCTGAGACCAGGAGACGGTGCACGGGCTGCCCTGAGTGCAGCTTTGAGCTCAACAGGTGAAGTTCCATCAGGAACAACTCCTAGTGGAGCTGCTCAGGCTGATATATTTCCTGTTGGCCTGTGATGCTGGGCTAGGCCTTAGATTACAGGGAACAGAGCCATGAGCTGTGACCGTGGAGGACAGAAGATAGCCCTTGAGGCAGGCAGGGCAAGCTTGGGTAGGGCAGCTAGGGGTGGAGGGGGCCACAGGGGGCACTGTGGGCCATGGAGGGGCATCGGGGCCACAGAGGGGCATTCGGGGTGCTGGCTCCTGGAGCTCAGGGTGAGTCCAGGTCAAGGTTCGGGGCAAGGACAGCATAGGGGCCCCATTCTGTCCCACGAAGAAGCTAAGGATCTGCTCCATACACTGCCTCAGAAGAGAGATACCTGGTGACCATTGGCTCAGCTGGTGGCCACATGCAGGAGTCCACAGAGGCAGGCAGGATGGGCAAGTTCTGTGCCCATGCAGACACCAAGTGGCCCCTCTGTTTTCCTTACACATATGCCACATACCTTAGTGCAATCCAAAAGAGCTAAGTTTTAATGGGGAGGGGGCGGTTTCAACAATCTATGGGTGTTAGCTTCCCATGGAAAGCTTCTATGCACACCACAGGGTTTGCAAATGCAAATGCTCATAATGACCAGAAGTGAGATGCCAAGCAGCAAAGCAGCCGGGTGGGGTCTGCCTGGAGGCCACGTGCCCCAGCTCGAGTCCAGCACAGCCCGTGAGGAGGTATGCCCAGGCTGCTCAGGACAAGCTGGAGATTCGGATTCTTATGCTAAATAATAACATCTAACATTGCTTTGGTGCTAATTGGGTCAGTTCTGTTCTGCGTGCTTTCTATACGTGAGCTCATTTAATCCTGAGCAACCCCAAGACGTAGGTACTGTCATTATAGTCTTGATTTTATGAGAGGTTAAGAACTTGCTCAAGGTCACAGCTGATGAGTGGCCAACCCGGGTTCTGAGACTCAGGCAGACTGGCCGGGAGCCCGGGGCCCCATCCCTCTGTGCTGTAAGGCTTCTGTCTTCTAGTTTCAACTTCCAAGCTTGCAAAAGTCCCATGCAGGCCAACGAGCAGGCCTCCTCACAGGCTGCCTTTCCCACCCGCGTCTGGGCTGCGTGAGTGGCTCTCTGAGACTCACCCGATACCGCAGGCAAACAACCTGGTGTGGGGGCGGCTCCTCTTCACAAGCTGCAGCGTCAGCCTCTCGTCCTGGAGGTGCCCATCAGACACTAGGAGGATGCTCCGGGACCCTCGAGCAGGGTACAGTAAGCTAAGATATCGGAGAGTTTTCCAGAAGTCTGTATTCCCCATGGTAGGTGTGGCAGACTGGAGGAAATGAAGTGAAAGATTATGTTCTCCTTGTTGGATACGGTCACCATTTGCAGTCACCAGTGACACATCTAAGGACAGTGTAGAGATACAGTGACATGGAAAATATCTTATTTCCCTAATTATACATTTGTGAAACAACTAAACTTACGTCCTTTTAGTTTGTTTCATGTCACACAGTGACTGTAATAGAACTGTAATATTATCACCTCATGCTTGGTCAGTCTCATCTGGTCAGTCTCGGCTTGCTCCATTTTATTATTATTATTCTTTCTTTCTTTCTTTTTAAAATTCGAGATGGAGTCTTGCTCTGTTGCCCAGGCTGGAGTGCAGTGGAGCAATCTTGGCCCACTGCAACGTCCACCTGCTGGGTTCAAGCGATTCTCCTGCCTCGGCCTCCCTAGTAGCTAGGATTCCAGGTGTCCACCACCACGACTAGCTAATTGTTTGTATTTTTAGTAGATATGGGGTTTCACCATGTTGGCCAGGCTGGTCTTGAACTCCTGACCTCAGGTGATCTACCCACCTTGGCCTCCCAAAGTGCTGGGATTAGAGGCGTGAGCCACTGTACCTGGCATTTCCTTCTTTCTTAGCCTCCAGCCTTTTAGATGACGCTGGCTGCATTTTAAGAAGAAAAAAAACAAGGGACAGAAGAGAACTTCTCGAAGCTGTTAATGCTAGTTGTATTAGGGTGGTGGGACATGGGAGATTTTTTTCTTTCTATTCTTTTTAATTTCCAATTCTTCCTTAATGAGTGTATATCATTTTAATTAATGAAATAAGAGCCCACCAACATACAAAAATGAAGCAATAAAGGTGATCTGATAGTGGCTTGAGGGGCCTAAGCCCTGGAGATCCCCCCAAAGCATGGTAGGAAAAGACTCAAGAGATACAGGAAGCCTCTTGCACTCACCATGATGAACTCTGTTGCCGCAGTCTTGCTTGTGATATGCTGAGGATACGAAAATAACTCCTTGGAACCTGTGTAATAAGATCAGCATGAGGTGCTGCCTCCACACATTTACTTGCTTGACACTAACAATAATGTGACTTCATACCACCACAGCTGTCATAAAGGATGTTATATATTTATGTGTGTACCTTCCTTTTTAGAAAATTGTTTGATAATTTTTTTTTTGAGACATTGTTGCCCAGGCTGGAGCGCAATGGCACGATCTTGGCGCACCGCAGCCTCCACCTACTGGGTTCAAGCGATTCTCCTGCCTCAGTCTCCCGAGTAGCTGGAATTACAGGCACGCGCCACCATGCCTGGCTAATTTTGTATTTTTAGTAGAGACGGGCTTTCTCCATATTGGTCAAGCTGGTCTTGAAATCCTGACCTCAGATGATCCGTCCACCTCGGCCTCCCAAAGTGCTGGGATTACAGGTGTGAGCCACCACACCCGGCCTGATAATTTTAACATACAAAAATTTCACCCCAGCCTGGGCATGGTGGCTCACGCCTGTAATCCCAGCACTTTGAGAGGCTGATGTACGAGGATCGCCTGAGGTCGGGAGTTGAGACCGGCCTGGTCAACATGGTGAAACCCCATCTCTGCTAGAAATATAAAAATTAGCCAGGCGTGGTGGTGGGCACCTGTAATCCCAGCTACTGGGGAGGCAGAGATCGCAGTGAGTTGATATCATGCTACCGCACTCCAGCCTGGGCAACAAAGCGAGACTCTGTCTCCAAAAAAAAAAAAATTTCACCACACTATTCTTCTAAATAATAAATTGTTGCGCATCCACACTGTGGTGCTTTGCTACGCAGAATGTTGAGTCGAATTCCATGTGTACACGCAGATTGCTTGTGCCAAGAAAGGTGCAGGGCACTGTGAGGGCCTGGGCAGCTCAGCCCCTGGAAGGCCAGAGTCTCTGCTCAAGCCCTGTGCAGTCCCCATGCTTATCCAACCTCCGCCCCAGCAGCAGCAGACCTTAGCTCTGGGAAAAGGGGCTGGGCCTTCGGCTGGATGGCACAGAGGATGAGAATCAGCAGGACAGGACTGTCCCCTCACTCCACTCTGTGTACCCCTCTTTTCTGAGGTGCTGCCTCTGGTGGCTGAGAGGTCCCTGGACCCCACGTGGAGGGTGGCACTACCTCCCTTCCAGTAGTGCTGGCCAGATGCTTCCTGAGACCATTCCTTATAGATTTCCTATGACTGTGCTGATGGCAAATGTTTTGTCTTTAGACTTGGGACCTCCTACTCAACAGACCAAGGGTTCTGCATTTGGTTCAGCTGCGATTGACAACAGTAGCATTTATTTTTATTATTATTATTTTTTTTGAGACGGAGTTTCGCACTTGTTACCCAGGCTGGAGTGCAATGGCGCGATCTCGGCTGGCCGCAACCTCCGCCTCCTGGGTTCAGGCAATTCTCCTGCCTCAGCCTCCTGAGTAGCTGGGATTACAGGCACGTGCCACCATGCCCAGCTAATTTTTCTTGGTATTTTTAGTAGAGACGGGGTTTCACCATGTTGACCGGGATGGTCTCGATCTCTCAACCTCGTGATCCACCCGCCTCGGCCTCCCAAAGTGCTGGGATCAGAGGCTTGAGCCACCGCGCCCAGCCCACAGTAGCATTTATATCTCACCTTACTGTGAAACACGCACAGTTTAAAAGTCCTTTACATACATTAGCTCAGTCCTCCTCACAGCAGTACTGTGAGTTAGGGACAATTAGTCTCAGATGACAGAGGAGGAAATGGAGGGACCAGAAGTTCAAGCAGCACACCCAAGGGGACACACAGCCTGGGAGTGATACAGCTGGGATCTGGACCTCAGGGTCCAGCTCCAGAGCTCCTGTGGCTCAGCTTTATACTGGGCTGCCCCACACTGCACAGGCGGGGCCAGGTACCCACAGTCTTCATTTCTACAGAGCGTGATTCACACGTGGGGAAGCACCTGCCAGGGCCAAAGTGCACTTACCTGTGCCGAACTGGATGATGTTTACTTTTTGCTTCTCACCCACCAAAGACAGTGCATGCAAGGCGATCTGCTTGGCTTGCAAGAACGTCACACCCTCCATAGAACTGGAGCAGTCCAGACAAATAATCACTTCGCTCTCATTGGCCAGGTCAGGGAGGTCGACATTGAGATCAGGTTGAAAGACAAGCATGCAAGCCTGAAAGGAGAAAGAAGGAGCTGGCCTGGAGCATCTCGTCACTTCAACTGGAAAAGGTCTACTTAGAAAACTCCAAAACTTTCTAGTGAGGTAAACTAATGCTCTAAAAACAAAAAGAATAAGATGTAATTTACAACAAGATGGCCTACTAGGAGTTCCAGTCAAAAGCAGAATGGTAGAGCTGGGAGTTTCCAATGCAGAAGACATAAACTCCTGCGAGGTCAAGAATTAATATCTAAAACATCATATATCATCAACATTAGAAAACAAATATATATGTATCTCTCACACACTATTCTAAGAGGAATATACATGCCACTGTGATTACTAAAATAGACACACGTAACCTTTTGTTCCATTAATTAACCAATACTTAAAATAACTACTATCATATAAGTTTCCTTTTTTTGAGAAAGGGTCTCTCTTTGTTGTCCAGGCTGGTGTGTAGTGGCGCGATCACAGCTCACTGTTGATCTCAACCTCCTGGGCTCAAGTGATCGTCCTGTTTCAGCCTCCTAAGAAGCTGGGAGCACAGGTACGTGTGACCACACCTGGCTAATTTTTTTTCTAAATTTTTTGTAGAGACGAGCTCTCACTATGTTTCCCAGGCTGGTTTCAAACTCCTGGGCTCAAGCAGTCCACCTGCCTTGGCCTCCCAAAGTGCTGGGATTACAAGTGTGAGCCACTCCACCCAGCTGTAAGCTTCATTTTTATTTTAACTTAAGAAGATACTCTTTGTCACAGTCACACAAAATGGTCTTATCATCAACCATAAAGAATTGTTCACGTTTTTCCAGAATCAGTATTTTAAAGTATAAAGAGCATACAGAATATCCAATGTAATGTCTGACGGTACATGTTCTTTGTTGGGGAGCTTACGGTAAAAATGCCAATCTGTACAGGCAAGTCATCCACATAAGGGTTTTGGTTGAAATGTCAGAAGTTTGGCACGCTTGATATCAGAAGTACTTTTAGTTGCAGAATCTTGGGGTGCGAGAGCTCATTTTGTAATGCTAGTTTTTCAGGACAATTCATAATTTCCAAGTTTCACCAACTTATTCTGAAATGTTTCTCCAATAGTGTCTCCTATTTCTACGTAAGAAGGCATATACCTCGCTTTCTTTTTCTGGATGTTTTTCAACCCACATTCTTGGGAGATAGGCGTCAGACAGACCGATGTGGAGGGAAAATCCACCGCTGTCTAAGGAGCTGCCTTCCATGGTGCTAATGACAGCTTTGCAGTCTGTGCGCTGTAAAACAAACACCACGACGACAAGGTGAGGAACGGAGAAACACCGTATTAGCAGTCTGCACTTACCCGTCATGGAGCAAACCCTTGCAAAGCTTACATAACTCTATGAAGAATCAACAAAGTAGTGATAAATTCCAAACTAATGAAATGTAGGCCGGGTGCGGTGGCTCACGTCTATCATCCCAGCACTTTGGCTGGCCAAGGTGGGTGGATCACCTGAGGTCAGGAGTTTGAGGCCAGCCTGGCCAACATGGTGAAACCCCATCACTACTAAAAATACAAAAAATTAGCCAGGCATCATGGTGGGCGCCTGTAATCCCAGCTACTCAGGAGGCTGAGGCAGGAGAATCACTTGAACCCAGGAGAACGAGGTTGCCTTGAGCTGAGAGCGTGCCACTGCACTCCAGCCTGGGTAACAAGAGCAGGACTCCGTCTCAAAAACCGCCCCCCCCAAAAAAAACCCTAAACAATGAAATGTAGGTTTTAGAAGACCATGAGCATATTAGACACCCTTCTGTGATCCTAAGGTTGATTCACACAGTCAAATTTAGGTTAAGTGTGCAACAGTCTCAAACCCTGGATCCAAAGATTATAGATCTGTCCATTCAGTTAGACTTATCTGGGTATAGCAGACAGCACATCAGATAATTAAAACCTAGAAGAATAAAATAGAAAACTCTACAGAAATCTTAGAATTATACCTTAGTTGTATATGTTTTCATGAATATAAAAAAAAACTGTTGAAAATCTAAATGATAAGCTTTAAAACCATAAAGGCGAAGGCAATGTGCTAGACTGTAACATGACCACAAAGTCTCTCCACGCCTGCGTGCCCCTTTGCAATGTGACTTTTGAAGTTTCTCCTGCCTCGAGGCAGCAGCTCTATTTCCACCCTTGAATCTGGAGTTGGCCATAGGGCGTGAAAAGTGCCCATGCAACGGGGCTGGCGCTCTCTTGTTGCTATTGAGGACTCCTCCCCCATTATAAGAGTCCACCCGAGCCAAGCTCTGGAGGGGAGACCCAGCCCCTTCCCTGCTGAAACAAGGCCGGCAGCCAGCGGTGGGTGAGGCTGCCCTAGGTCGCCCTGGCCCAGCCCAGCCCAGAACCGCCCAGCCGATCCACAGAACTGTGAGAATAATAAACGCTTGTTGTTTTAAACCACAAAGTTTTGGGACTGTTTGCTAATATGGCAAAAGCTAACTGATGTAGAGGACTCTTTGAAGAGAGCAGATCAGAAATATATACTTATCTCCACTCCCCAGCAAAACGCCCAAGCCTCCCTGCAATGGAAGGAAGGCAACCAGTAAAAAGGGTGTGGACCCACAGAGACCCTGAGAACAGGACCAAGGACAGCACCAGATACGCGAAGCCAACAAATGGGAGGGGAATGGAAAGTGGATGGGAAGGAGCTCGGCCAGAGCGGCGGAGGCTCTGACGGCGACCCGCGGGCTGGTCGGCCCTGCCGCATCCTGGGAAGTAAGGCCACCAGGTCCTAGTGAACAGACGTGTACGGAGCTGTCAGGCCCTGGCCCCTCCCCAACCCAAGTGACCAAGCAGCTACCCTATTCTCTCACTAAGGGAATATGGAGGTTCATTATCTGGAGAAATTCAGCCAAATAGAATCAGGCCAGGGAAGGCGAGGCACGCGGGGCACCGGAGCGCAGTCTGCTCCCTTCAGGGTCGCGAGGTCAGCACCCCGAAACGCGGGCCCCTCGGTCACCTGACCCGGCCACACTCCCTAAACATCCTGGAGCTTCCCGTCGCCTTTCTTGTGTTTCAGTCTTAGTGATGGATCCAGAGAGAGAGTCACCCAGACACTGGAGAAAACGTGGAGGCCAAAAAAACAACAAAAAGCCAGAAGGGGAAAAAAAAAGGAACTCAAAGAGACGAGACACAACATGAGGAACAGAAGAAAAAACGTCTTATGAATGTTTTTAGAGAGACGAGAGAGGACAGCGTACCCACGAAAGACAGAGAGATGCTATGAAAGAAACAATACTCATAGCACAGAAAACAGCTCTGACAAATGAAACATAAGAGAACTAAAATTAAAATTTCAGTGTCACGGCTGGAATTGAAGATGGAAAAAAAAATGCCCCAAAAGTGGCACAAAAAGACAACAAAAATGGGCAATAGGAAAAAGGCAGAAGAAAACAAGGGGCTTGCTCCAGGGACACCTGACTGAGAGGCACCGCAGAGGCAGTCGCCAGGGCTACAGGCCTGAGCCACCACATTTGGCTAATTTTTTTTTTTTTAATTTTGTAGAGACAGGGGTCTCACTATGTTGCCCAGACTTTTCTTGAACTCCTGGGCTCAAGTGACCCTCTTTGCCTCAGCTTCCCAAAGTGCTAGAATTACAGGTGTGAGCCACCACACTCAGCCTATTTTCCTTTTTAAAATTCTGCAGGAATTGCAGACCTTATCTTTATCTCTGGTATTCTGAAATTTCATAATTATTGGCTGGGTGTGGTGGCTCACACCTGTGATCTCAGTACTCTGGGAGGCTGAGGCGGGCAATCACCTAGGTCAGGAGTTTGAGACTGGCCCGGGCAACATGGGGAAACCCTGTCCCTACTAAAAATATGAAAATTAACCAGGTGTGGAGGCAGGCACCTGTAGTCCCAGCTACTCAGGAGGCTGAGGCACTGGAATCACTTGAACCCGGGAGTCAGAGGTTGCAGTGGGCTGAGATAGCATCATTGGACTCCAGCCTGGGTGATACTAAGAGTGAGATTCTGTCTCAAAAAAAAAAAAAGAAAAAGAGAGAGAGAGAGAGAGAGAGAGAGAGAGAGAGAGAAAGGCACTGCAGAAAGGTACAAGAGAGAGGAACAATTTTTTTAATACAAGAAAATTTCTCAGAACTAAAGACCACCAGTTCCATATAATGAATGAATACGATATTATGATGAAATTTCAGAATACCAGAGATAAAGAGAAGGTTGGAAATTCCTGGAAAATTTTAAAAAGGAAAATAGACTGGGTGTGGTGGCTCACGCCTATAATTCTAGCCCTTTGGGAAGCCAAGGTAAAGAGGATCGCTTGAGCCCAGGAGTTTGAAAAAAGCCTGAGCAGCGTAGTGAGACCCTGTCTCTGCAATTTTTTTTTTTAAAGTTAGCCAGGTGTGGTGGCACAGGCCTGTAGCCCTAGCTACTCAGGACCTGAAGGGGAGAGGAAAACTAGGGAGTGGGATGAGTGAAGGGGGTAAGAGCTATACATCCACCTTCCATAACAGGAAGTCAAAAGATAATTTCGGAAACAGATGAATCAAGAAAAAGCATTAAGGCCGGGCGCGGTGGCTCAAGCCTGTCATCCCAGCACTTTGGGAGGCCGAGGCGGGTGGATCACGAGGTCGAGAGATCGAGACCATCCTGGTCAACATGGTGAAACCCCGTCTCTACTAAAAATGCAAAAAATTAGCTGGGCATGGTGGTGCGTGCCTATAATCCCAGCTACTCAGGAGGCTGAGGCAGGAGAATTGCCTGAACCCAGGAGGCGGAGGTTGCGGTGAGCCGAGATCGCGCCATTGCACTCCAGCCTGGGTAACAAGAGCGAAACTCCATCTCAAAAAAAAAAAAAAAGAAAAAGCATTAAAAATTAATATTTGAAAGCTAGAGGCAAAACCAGAGAAACAGCTCAAATATTTTACGTGGTTCACTGCCTCTGGAAACTGGGCTGGGGAGAGTCAGGGGCAGGATTGCTGCTTCTTGTTAGAACCCGTTGTTAGCATTATTTCACTTTTAAACCACATGCCTGCATTGCTTTGATAAAAGAAAAGTAGCATGAAAGAAGAGCTCTTACGAAATAAAAGATTCACTAACCTTTTGTTTCAGTTCGTGTGTATCACTGAAAATGAATTCAATCACGTATGGCATCTCGATAGACATAGTCAAAGAGAAGCTACCAAAAATGAAGAGAAAATGTTCTTAGTCTATACGATCTTAAATTTCTATCTGAAATTATTTCAAAGAATTCTAAGTGGAAATTTAATATCCATTGAATGATTAATTGACAGATTTTATATTTTAGGTACTAACCTTTGCTTTGTTCCTATTTCTTTTATACATATCTTCTCTACTGTATCCTGTTAAAAGAAAAATACGCTTGTATAAGTAAGCATATTTTAAGTTTCACAATGAGACTCTAACCTGCTTGTAATCTTGGCAAGGCCACAACTGTCAGCAAGACAGCTGATTTCACTTTCAAGTAGTGACACACAGAAAGTTTGATCACGGTGTGACAGGACCTTCTAAAGTACAACTGACCATTTGGACAGAGATGTTCAACTCTACATATGTCCCTGGGTGTATACACACACAGACACACAGAGACACACGCACACATTTTATACGTGTGCTATGCGAAGTAGGCAGTTTGGAGAGATATACCAAGGCGTTAACCAGTAGCGATCTCCGGGCGAGGGGATAAAGGACGGTTTGGATTTTCTTATTTTGGCTTATTTGTATTCTCTACGCTCGTCTAGTTCTTCACGATGAACATGCGCTACAGATACAACGTTTTTTGAGTGATTAAGCAGAATAAAAATATGCTTATTAATCATATCTGTATCTTTTGTTCTCTTCATTTTACAAACCTAACGTATCTAAATGCATAAACATCAGTAAAATTGACTTGATGCCTACAATATCCTTTTACATGTTTTTCCCCCCCATGCGTCAATGCCTCCACAGCCCTGCACCACTCTCTCTCCACTGCTGCTAAAATGCTTCTTCAAATCTTATGCATACAAACCTGAAGGTTTTCGTTTAAAGCCTTGTCCTGTTGCCAGGGCGCTACGGTGGCAGGCATGAAAAAGACACCAACAGTGCCCAGGATGCTGAGTTCTGTGATGTAGGTAATTTTTATGAGAACCTTCGCCTTAGGGGGTAAGTTTCCAACACTTACTGTAAAAACGTCCTGGAACAGAAACATACGACTTAGCTTGCAACTTGAAAGCATGCCAGCTAGCTCCACATATTTCTTAAGCAACTTAAATGACAATCTGCCAAATTCTTCTTCAGAAAACAGTAATAAAACCTAAAAGACACATCGGTGGGACGAACGGAGACTCCTGGAGCCATTCATTGGTGGGAACAGGGTGATATCCGTGGCAGCCAGACGGAGAGGGGTCCCCTTGGCAGCTCAACTGGGAAGACACACTCATGGACTCTGCCCCAGGGGGCTCGTATGTGTGACATCCCTGCTCAGGTGGGCTCCGCTGCACGGGCGGCCTCCACAAAGCCCTTTCCTGAAGACCCTCCCCAACCACCATGGCACCCAACACCATTACAGCCAGCAGCTGTAGAACCAGGGCAGTTTTTTCGAAGCTTGGCCCTCGCTTAATTATTTTACCTTACGGTAATTTCTCATGTTATTTTTATTTATTTCATGTTTAGAGCTAGGATCTTGCTCTGTCATCCAGGCTGGAGGGCGGTGGTGCAGTCATAGCTTGAGGTATCCTTGAAACCCCAGGTCTAAGCCATTCTCCTAAGTACCTGGGACTACAGGCATGCGCCACGATGCCTGGCTGATTTTTAAACACAGATGGGCTATCCCTATGTTGCCCAGGCTGGTCTCAAACTCCAGGCCTCAAGTGACCCTTCCGCCTTGTGCTCCCCAAGTGCTGGGATTACAGGTGTGAGGTACCATGCCCAGCCTATCATGCTGTTTTCTAATAAAAAGTCTTTAGCTTTCTTTTAATGGGATATTGATAATCACCATACAAGGCAACAACCCCACGACTAGCTAGGGCAGAACCAACGGGCTAGATAATATTTTTTTTCTGGTAACTTCGCAGAGATCCTCTCAACATTCCCAACTGTGTTCACCATTCTAGTTGACCGCCCTATCATGAAAATTTTGTATATTTAGATCACGACTAATTTCGGCTTAAAGGTTAAATTATTACTTTTGACATCAAAGATATCCATTTGCTGGAGGGAAACAAATAAAAATAGGTGATTATTAAATAGTTAATAGTGCTAGCACTTAAAAGAAATATATGTATAAAAATCTGGAGTTCATTTTTTTTTTTTTTTTTGAGATAGAGTCTTGCTCTGTCACCAGGCGCTAGGCTGGAGTGCAGTGGCACCATCTCAGCTCACCGCAACCTCCGCCTCCCAGTTTCAAGCAATTCTCCTGCCTCAGCCTCCCAAGTAGCTGGGACTAGAGGTGCGTGCCACCACGCCCAGCTAACTTTTGTATTTTTAGTAGTGATGGGGTTTCACCATGGCCAGGATGGTCTCGATCTCTTGACCTTGTGATCTGGCTGCCTCAGCCTCCTAAAGTACTGGGATTACAGGCGTGAGCCACCGCGCCTGGCCCAAAATCTGGGGTTCATTTAAGAGACCTGCCACTTAATAGCATGGGATTGCGGTTCTGTTTCTGGGTAGAATGGGTGGATGCAGATGATGTCACTTCCGTTATAATACACCATGTAATATACAAAATCATAACTCGTCTTGAACGCATCAACCAAGCGAACTGAATTCCAAAGAGGGGACAGGTGGCACACCGGAGCTGTGTGGACTCCTCCTGGCTGGGAGTGGGTGAGCTTACCGGTTTAGGATAATCGGGAGCTCCTGACCCAAGGGGAGTTTCCATTCTCCTGCAGGTGTTTTCCCGCATCTCTCCAGCCTTCCACCGGGCCCACTGCAAAGGCTGGACAGGGCAGGAGACCAAGCAGAGCACCTCTCCAGGGAGCAGGTGTGGGGGACGTGCTGGACCAGTTCCCCGGATCCTTCCCCCACATGCAAAACCCTCCAGCTGCGGAGGAAAAGGCAGCAAACTCTCACCTACAGGGCTGCGGGGAAGGGGCAGAAGCAAACCAGGGACCAGGAGCCTTCCTTCCTACCCCCGTGCCCAGGTAAAGCTTCGTGCTTCTGAGAGAAACAGCTACCTCCCGACGGGGCAGGGGATGACACCCTCCGAGGCCCAGGACCCTGTACTAGTCCAAAGCAGGGGTGGCTACCATGGGGGGAAAGGCAGCAAACTGTCCCCCAGATAACTCTTAACAGACACAAGGCAGAATTTGGCTGCCATTAAGGTAGGAGAATGAACAGAAATACTAAGACGTTCCCACCCTAAGGTCCAGGACTGCAGGCCCTGCCTAAGACTGAGGCTGAACCAGGAGAATGTCTCTGACCCACCAGGAGCCTAGTACAGCACATCAAGCAACAGCAGCCTAGCACTGGGGTAGGGGAAGAGTGGCCGTACCCAACTCTGTGGGATGGTGTGCAGCGCCTGCTGAAAGCTCGGGGTGGAGCATGAACCCCAGTAAGACTTGTTCCGTATCCAGGCCCAACAGGCACAAGGTAGCGGCGGCCCAGCACTGGAGATGTTTGAGACCGAGAGTAATAATAACAACGGAGAGTAATGATAACAGCAAAACTCAAACTCAACTCTTCAACCTCTACACAAATCTGAAAGAACAGGAGTTGCCATTTCTGGGCATACATGCCATTTATTTTAGCCTCTCTTCTTCTTTTAGATACAATGTCCAGCATTCAATAACAAATTCCAAAATATACCCCCTTTTTTTAAAGCAAGCAAAAAAAAAAATGACTCAATGTCAAGATAAAGCTATTAACAGGCAGATTCAGAGATGACCATGACACTGCAATAAACAGACAGGATTATAGTTAATTACAGAAAAGACACAGAGAAAAGATGAGGAATACATATGAATAGACATAACCTTTCATTAGAGAAATTAAATTGTATTTTTTAAATATCAGAAATGCTAGAAACAGACATATTATCAAAGCGGAAGAATTTGACAAGCCTATCAGCGGACGGACCATAGTTGAGAAAAGAATGAATGAACTTCAAGTGAGGTCAATAGAAATTATCCAAAATCAAATGCCACAGGAAATAAAAGTGAAAAAATAGGGCTCCAAAAGCCGTGGTGCAATATCAAATGGTCTAACATATACGTATTGAAGTCTCGGAAGGAGAAAAGAGACAGAGAGAATGAGGGAAAGGAAATATTTCGATATATAAGGGTCAAGACTGTCCCAAAATGAATGTGAGAAAAGACAAACTCAGGGAACTCCAAGCAAGATAAGCAATAATTTTTCAAAATAACATAAACACATCATAGTCAAATTACTGAAAACCAAAGATAAAGAGAATCTTGAAGGGAGCTTGAGAGAAAACATACTTTCACATACAGAAGAACAACACAAAAATTAGAGCTGACGTCTGGTCAGAAATCCTATAAGCCAGAAGACAACGAAGTGACATGTTTAAACTACTAAAAGGAAAACAAACTGTCACCTGGAATCCCATGGTCAGCACCAAATATCTTTAAAAAATGAAGGTGAAAGGTTTTGTTAGATAAAAAAATGAACATACTCCTTGCTAGCATGCTTGCACTAAAAATCAATCAATCAATCAATCAATCAAATGTCTCAAGCAGAAGGAGGATTTCTTTGTATCTATACAAAGAAATGAAAGGCACCAGAAATTATAAAATTGAGAATAAATGTAGAAGACATTTCCCCTTCTTTTTAATTGCTTTAAAAGATAGTTGATCGTCACATAATCAAAACTAAAGACAAAAACCACAGGATTATCTCAATAGACATAGAAAAGGCCTTTGATACAATTCAACATCCCTTTACGTTAAAAACTTGCAGTAAGTAAACTAGGTATTGATGGGACACACCTCAAAATAGTAAGAGTCATCAGTCACAAACCTCCACTGCCAATAGCATACGGAATGGGCAAAAGCTGGAAGCATTCCCCTTGAAAACCAGCACAAGACAAGGATGCCTTCTCTCATCAGTCCTAGTCAACACATATTGGAAGTTCTGGCCAGGACAGTCAGGCAAGATAAAGAAATAAAGATGATTGAAATAGAAAGTCGAACCGTTTCTGTTTGCAAATGATAAGATCCTGTATCTAGAAAACTCCATCGTCTCAGCCCAAAGGCTTCTTAAGCTGATAAGCAACTTCAGCAAAGTCTCAGGATACAAAAACCGACGTGCAAAATTCACAAGCATTCCTATACGCCAACAACAGACAAGCAGAGAGCCAAACCACGAATCAACTCCCATTCACAGTTGCTACAAAGGGAATAAAATACCTAGGAATACAGCTAACAAGGGAAGTGAAGGACCTTTTCAAGGAGAACTACAAACCACTGCTCAAGGAAACCAGAGAGGACACAAACAGATGGAAAAACATTCCACGCTCATGGACAGGAAGAATCGATATTGTGAAAACGGCCATACTGCCCAAAGTAATTTATAGCTTCAATGCTATTCCCATTAAACTACCACTGACAGTCTTCACAGAATTAGAAAAAACTAGTTTAAAATTTATATGGAACCGAAATAGAGCCTGTATAGCCAAGAGAATCCGAAGCAAAAAGAACAAAACTGGAGGCATCATGCTACCAGACTTCAAACTATACGACAAGGCTACAGTAACCGAAACGGCATACTACTGGTACAAAATAGACATATAGGCCAATGGAACAAAATAGCAATCTCAGAAATACGACTGCACACCTCCAACCGTCTGATCTTCACAAACCTGGCAAAAACAAGCAGTGGGAAAAGGATTCCCTGTAGGTGCTGGCTAACCATATGCAGAAAATTGAAACTAGACCCCTTCTTTAAACTTACATAAAAATTAACTTGAGATGAAAAGGCTTAAATGTCAAACCAAAAAGTATAAAAACCTTAGAAGAAAATCTAGGCAATACCATTCGGGACATCGGCATGGTCAAAGATTTTATGATGAAAATATCAAAAGCGATTGCAACAAAAGCAAAAATTGACAAATGGGATCCAATTAAATGAAAGAGCTTCTACACAGCAAAAACAACTACCATCAGAGTGACCAGACAACCTACAGAATGGGAGAAAATTTTTGCCAATTTATCAATCTGACAAAGGTCTAACATCCAGAATCTACAAGGAACTTAAACAAATCTCATAGAAAAACAAACAAACAACCCCATTAAAAAGTGGGCAAAGGACATGAACAGACACTTCTCAAAAGGAGACAAATATGTGGCCAACAAACATATGGAAAAAAAGCTCATCATCACTGAGCATTAGAGAAATACAAATCAAAACCACAGTCAGATACCCTCTCATGCCAGTCAGAAAGGTGATTATTAAAAAAAAAAATCAAGAAACACACTGGCATGAATGTGGAGAAACAGGAATGCTTTTACACCGTTGGTGGGAATGTGAATTAGTTCGACCATTGTGGAAAACAGTGTGGTCCTTTTCTTTGTTTTAGACAGTTTCGCTGTCCAGGCTGGAGTGCAATGGCACAAGCTTGGCTCACTGCAACCTCTGCCTTCTGGGTTCAAGTGATTCTCCAGCCTCAGCCTCTCAAGTAGCTGCGATTACAGGGATGCACCACCACCCGGCTAATTTTTGTATTGAGTAGAGATGGGATTTCACCATGTTGGTTAGGCTGGTCTCGAACTCCGGACCTCAGGCGATCCACCTGCCTTGGCCCTCCAAAGTGCTGGGATTACAGGCATGTGCCACCACGCCTGGCCAGAAATACCATTTGACCCACCAATCCCATTACTGGGTATATAGCCAAAGGAATATAAATGATTCTATTATAAAGATACATGCATGTGTGTGGTCATTGCAGTACTATTCACAACAGCAAAGATATGGAAGGGGGGAGGGAGAGCATCAGAATAAACAGCTAATGCATGTGGCACTTAATACCTAGATCAGGCATCCCCAGACTTTTTACACAGGGGGCCAGTTCACTGTCCCTCAGACCGTTGGAGGGCCGCCACATACTGTGCTCCTCTCACTGACCACCAATGAAAGAGGTGCCCCTTCCCGAAGTGCGGCGGGGGGCCGGATAAATGGCCTCAGGGGGCCGCATGCGGCCCGCGGGCCGTAGTTTGGGGACGCCTGGTCTAGATGTTTTGAAAAGGAGAAAATCATCAGATGGTCACATAAATTGAGGTCTTGGAAACACTGCCATTTAATCTGGCAGTCTGGAGGACATACGTCGTCCCAGCTGGGCGCTGACTTCATCCTTGGTTTCAGCACCACCGTTTTCTCTTTATTTTACCGTTAACCAGCCCTTTCTGTTACTTCCATACTTAAATATTGGGAATTACAAGCTAGACATCTATATTTACAAATAGTATATTAAGAGTTATAAGACAAGTATGTTCAGGTTGCCATGGGAAAATAAACCCATGAGTCTTTCCTGGGGGAAGACAGGCAAAGCTTAGATGGAGGGATTCCCACGCTAAGATTTGTTTGTTTAGAGACAGAATCTTGCTCTGTTGCCCAGGTTGGTGTGTAGTGGTATGATCACAGCTCACTGCGGCCTCAAACTCCTGGGCTCCAGTGATCCTCCTGCCTTGGCATCCCAAACTGCTGGGATTACAGGTATGAGCCACTGCACCTAGCATATATGGTATTGACATAACAACACAGGAAAACCATATATTATGATATGAGAACATGATAGTCACAAGACGTCAACACATTCTGGGAGACCCGAAGGCTTGGGTTAGCAACAGGTCTGATCAGACTCTACCCATAGATAATGTCTTTTGGAAAGACTGTTGTCTTGTGGACCATATCCCGAGGGAAATATGCAGGTATTGAGGGGGAAACATTCACCAACTCACACGAGAGGATAACGTGACACTATGAAGTGGCGGCCTCTCAAATGAACCCCAGGCTTCCATGCATAGTTTGGCCAAACACGAAGCTAGCGTTGTGAACTGTTCAATCATCACCTCTTCATTGCTTACTCCCATCCTGAAAGTGGGTATCTCAGATGTCAAAAGCAACAATTTACCCTTTAGATCTATACTCATCTTTAATGTGCTCAGAGCCCCAGCAAACATTAAATTTTCAAAACACCATGGCAATGTGTCACCCTCAGAGGTGACACTCAAACATATGGCCCCATCTGCAAAATCAACTAAAATACCTGCAGTAGAATCAGACGCCGACGACACATAATCTAGCACCTGCCAGAGGCCTCGTGAGACATCTGATATTTAAGGAAAGTAGTCTAGTGGACCTGCCAGCTGGTCCCTCTTCCACCCTGTCCACGTCACGTCCCTGCTAAAGCAAATCACCCAAAAGCACAGGAGCTGGGCTTGCCCGGGACCTGGCAGAAATGCCTCCCTGCTTTACGACTGGACCATCTGCTAGGTGAGCTTATGTCCAGGAAAACTGTAAATATATCACACTCTGATTTTTTTTGAGATGGAGTTTTGTTCTTGTTGCCCAGGATGCGACGCAATGGCATGTCGGCTCACTGAAACCTCTGCCTCCTGAGTTCAAGCGATTCTCCTGCCACAGCCTCCTCAGTAGCTGGGATTACAGGTGCCTGCCACCACACCCAACTAATTTTTGTATTCTTAGTAGAGATGGGGGTTTCACCATGTTGGCCAGGTTCTTGAAATCCTGACCTCAGATGATCCTCCTGCCACGGCCTCCCACAGTGCTGGGCTTACAGGTGTGAGCCACCGTGCCTGGACAAGATATCACACTCTTTTCAGAAGATGAAAGTGAGATACTTCGAATGTTATATGATCGTCTGTCATTTCTTCTGGGAGACTCAGTTCCCAATGGTGGGCCTAGCTCTCTCCCTGTTTGTCTGGAACTACTGAAGCCATTTCCTCCTTTGTTGAGATAAAGCAAATGGGTCTCACCGGCGTGGCTTCCTCTGACTTAGAGCAAGTGAAACTCTGGGGCCCACAACAGTGTAAATTATCTCAGCCTCTAGCATGAATTGCATATTTCAAGTCCCGTGCGGACTCTTTCCCTTCCGTGTATGCACGCAGCACGCACACCAAGCCATACCGGGGCGTCCTGGCTCATCAGATAAGCGCCATCACCCCGGCTCACGGCTTCTCGGTACTCTCGCTGGGCTTCTTCCTTCTCCTTAATCTGGAAAAGATGATTTTTCAATCATTCCTTACATGAAGAGTGACTTCAGTCTTTAATAAAGAAAACAACATCAATGCTTATTAAAACCCAGGCAGAAACTGAAAATCGAATCTAAGTAAGATGAATGAAAACTTGTTTAAAGTGATCATTGAAATATACTTATTTGATGAGAATTTGAACCAGAAAAGGCCAACTGAAGAGAAGTCTCTTTAAGTCGGGACTAATATATTTCAAAATCAATAGTGAAAAAATTTTTTTTGGTTGGGAGTTTATGTTGAACAAAAAAAAAATAATGACTTTAAATTTAGTAAATTATAGTTTATAATTGCAACTGTGGGCTGGTCCTTAGAATAAACAAAGAATTCATCAGCTGATGGTTTTTTTTGTTGTTTGTTTTTTAGAAAGTTACAATAGCTTTCATTTCAGCTTTACTTTTATAACACGATTCCAGGGATCAGGTTTTACAAAAATATATAATAAGGGCTTCACCAATTTTCCAGTGTGTCTCTCTTAATTTTTTTTCTCTTTTTCTGAGAAAAAGTCTCACTCTGTTGTCCAGGCTGGAGTATAGTGGCATGATCTTGGCTCACTGCAACCTATGCCACCCGGATTCAAGTGATTCTCCTGCCTCAGCCTCCTGAGTAGCTGGGATTAACAGGCATATGCCACCACGCCTGGCTAATTTTTGGATTTTTAGTAGAGATGGGGTTTTACCATGTTGGCCAGGCTGGTCTCGAACTCCTGACTTCAAGTGATCTGCCTGCTTCAGCCTCCCAAACTGCTGGGATTACAGGCACGAGCCACTGCACCTGGCCCTCTTAAACTTTTCATATTGTAAATCACTCTTACGGCGCCAAGGCTAAGAATGTACAAGACACTGACGACGAAGATTGGACGGAGTGGGGTAGAAACCATTTATCAGGGAGGGATGTTTCAGGGAGGCTCACTGTGCAGGAACTGGTTCTTCGAAGAATATTCTCGTTTTATGATAAGGCTGCTACTCAACTTCATAGCCATGGGGACTCAGAAAACGAAGACTCGGGGAAACGGAAGCTGACTTCGAAAGCAGAGCGCGGGCGCGACGCGTCTTCTCCCCTTACCTCTCCAACTATGTGCTTCCCATCGATGAAGGCTTCGAAGCCACACACAGCAGCCTTCTCATCCAAAGGAAAGACATATTTTGCCTCAATGGGCACATGACTGTTATTTGAGTATGTCTGAAAAACAATGACCTGAAGAAGAAAACAATCCATACATGTGATGAGACCACATGGACAACGTCTGCAGGAACGACGATGAACGAAAATGATTTTGCGTGTTTATTTGAAATGCCTTGCATTCGTATCATGTCCCTCAGATTCCCAACCCTGGCTTCCCTTCTACAATGGAGAGCCCATGTCATGTGATAAAATGCCCTAGTCCCATAGTTCGGTTCATACATATCTGACTGGAATACAAGTCACCAGAAGTCTTGCCAACTCTGAGTTAGTGGGGGCAATATAGCTTTTGCTGAGATGGCTGGAAAATCACCCCTTTCGTGTTGTGGGCTTTGATGCCTCCCTAGTGCCACGTGGGCTGGAAACGATTTCAGAACGGTTCCTCTTCTTTTTTTTTTTTTTTTTTTTGAGATGGAGTTTTGCTCTTGTTGCCCAGGCTGGAGTGCAATGGCGCGATCTTGGCTCACTGCAACCTCCGTCTCCTGGGTTCAGGCAATTCTCCTGCCTCAGCCTCCCGAGGAGCTGGGATTACAGGCACGCGCCACCACGCCCAGCTAATTTTGGTATTTTTAGTAAAGATAGGGTTTCACCATGTTGACCAGGATGGTCTCGATCTCTTGACCTCTATCCTATCGGCTCTCAGGTCTTGGCATTTCCTCCTGGGGACCTCTCTGAGGCTTTCCCCTCTCTACACAGCCCTCATCTATCTAGCTCCTCATCTCTTCGGGCCTTGGTTCTTCCAGAATCAAGTCTTCTCCACTCCTCTCTGTTGTCTCTATTACCTAATTCATCTTTCTAATAGACTCTTTTCACACTCTCTCACTCAGGAAAAGCAGGAGGCTTTCAATATTTGAAAATAAAGAAAAAACTCCTCAGATGCATAAGAAACAGTAAGATTTTAAATGTGACAATAAGAAGCCAAAAATATTTCATAATCTGTCATCAAGAATCCAGGGAAGAGACCAAAATGAAAATAGAACCTAACTTCTTTGAAAATATTGTCCAAACCTGGATTTGCTGCAAGCTGGGCTACCCCTAGGGTGTGTAGGGTTCCAGGCACAATTTTTCAAGGAGTCCTTGTTAATATAAGCAATTGGAGTCTCCCCAAATCAACAGGTCAGCACCCTCCTGGAAACAGCATCCCTTGCCAACGGGATTCCTGGAATTCCGTTCTGGCCAGCTGCCCAAGATGAGACAGAGGTGCATCCTGGAGTTTCTCAGCGATCTGGGCGATGCTGTGTGCAATGGCCAGAGTGCGCCTGGTGGGACTGGGGCCACTGGGACTGGGGCCCACCTAGCATGGACTGGGAGGACATCAGACACTGTCCTCTTGACTGTGCATGGAACTCCTTCTCTTCCTCTCTTGGACCTTCCACAGTTTTACCAAACCCTCAAAGGCACGTATGCCTGCCCTGAGTCTGATGAACGGGATCACTATCTAACCGTACTTGGTGTAGACTAACGTTTCTTCCTACTCAGTAGCCGTCCTGCCTATTCTAGTTAGCGGGCCTGCTTTTGCGTGGGAGTCCCCAGACATCAGGCCTGTGTCAGCTGCACTCTCTTTGTATATCATCACACTGTGTGGCTGGGCACTCACAAAGGTCAATAATTTTAGGTAATAATAAGAAGAAAAGTATTTTTACCAGGCCTTACAGCAGAAACTAATACAGTATAACAAATTTTGACACCTTAATTTTCTTCCATGAGACAAAACCATTTTGTAACTAAGCTTAACATCATTAAACTATTCTACGAAGGGTCAAAATGTAGGAGCCATGCACGTATAAGAGTCTGCAACTCAGCCTCTGCTCGGATGCTTAAGCTCAATCTACAGTCTGGCTGTTTCATCATAAAATGAGTGAGAAATTCACTGCTAAATCGAGAGTTATTTTTGGGCAAACTTACCCAGGGAACAGGCCTCTGGATTTGAAATATCATACGGTACAAGTTGTCTAATCCCAAGTAAGGCATGGAGGACGCACGGCTCCCCCCGTAACCTAGTCGCGATTTGTTTTGTAAATAACAACAATGCCCTAAGTCCTTTGCATTTCTTAGATCTAATAGGAACGACACTGATGGGCAGATACTCTTATTTCTATTTTACATATGAGGAAAATGAGGCAAAGAAGTCACTTTCCCAAGCTCGTAGCACTAGAAAGAAGAAGCCAGAATTCAAAGGTAAGCCTTTCAAACCCCAGATCCTTTGCTCTGTATGATCCACCAAGCTGCACTCTGGTGTAGTGGTTAAGAACGTGGACGCCTGGAATCAGAATGAACTGAGTTCAAATTTGGGCATTATCGCAGTGTTTGTCCCTGGGCCTCCGCTTCCTTATACAAACAAGGGGCATAATGACAGCGCTTGACTCATGGAGTCTGGGAGAATTAAGTACTGCGTGTGGAAAACTTGGCCGAGGGCCTGACTCTTGAAAGCGGTCACCACCGTGTTTACAGCTCCTAAGTGATGCCAAAGGGAGTAGCAGAGACAGAACATGTCCCCTGAGCTCACATCTGGGTCTTTTCAAAGTCTGTGATGTTGCTCTGAGCTGCCTTGAAGATGTGTGCATGGGTCAGAGTGGGCCCAGGGGTGGGGGTCAGCTATATCCAAACTGCTCTTCTCACCCTGACACCCCATCTCCCTAGTTAAAGGTGATCACTGAAATAGAACGAATTTCCCAGGACTCCATGTTTGGGTCTCCTTCCAAGAACACTCTCTCCATGGAAGCCATCTTTCTCTCTCCTGGATTTTCCCTCTGGGGTCCCCTTCCACACTCTCGTGGAAGCCTGTCTTCCCCTCCTCAACTCCATCTCTCTCTGTTCCCTTCCACTCAGTGTGGAGGCTGCTCTCCTCTCCTGGATCCCACCTTTCTGGATTCTCTCACTCGGCGTGAGACTTGGCTGTTTCTGTCTCTCTCCTTCTCCTGTTTCTCTCTGTCTTTAAATAAAATCACTTTCTACAACAACAACAGCAACAACAGCAACAACAACAACAACAGGGAACTAATTTCCCTCTACAGGGATCAGAACGTCATGGCACTGTACTTCAATGTCCTTATTCGCCTAAAAGGCCTTTATGGTTGTTTAATGCCATCTTCAGTGTTAGAATCTGATGATGAGGTCAAATCTCAGCGAACCCACTCAATTTCAGAAAGCCAAAAGCTTTCCAAGCTTCACCTTGGTTACCGCATCTGGCCACCTGGCACCCCCGATGCTGCCTTCCACCCCGTGACTGTGGATGATGAGCCTGCTGCGAGCGGCTGGCTGTGGCCCCAGCACCCGCATTAGATCACCCTCCTGCGATGCCTGCCTTTCCCTTTGACCAGTTCTTACTCACTTAGTATTTAATACTCTTCTGAGCTTTAGTGCAGATAATTTAATAAGGTGGGGTTTGTTCCTTCTCTTTCAACACCCTGGGTTTTTTTTCGTTTTGTTTTGTTTTTTTTAAACAGCATCTCACTCTATCATTCAGACTGGAGTGCATCGGTGCAATCTCATCTCACTGTAACCTCTGCCTCTGGGCTCAAGCCATCCTCCCATCTCAGCCTCCCAAGTAGATGGGACGACAGATGTATGCCTCCACACTCAACCGGTTTTTGTAGAGGTGGATTTCTTCATGTTCCCCGGGTTGGTCTGGAAGTCTTGAGCTCAAGTGATCCTCCTGCCTCAGCCTCCCTCCCAAAGTGCTGGGATTACAGGCACGAGCCACAGCACTCAGCCACTACCCTGGTATTTATGGTAGCAAAATGCGTATGTTTTAGTAGCTAATAAAAGATTTGGAAAAACAGTGGAATTCATCTTTCTCTGGGAAGAAATGCTTAGAGCACTGCCTGGCACAACGTAAGGACAATATATACGCTGGTTACATGGAAATGCTAAATAAACAAGGGAATAGTAAAGTTCTAAATGGAGGCTTTGGAGCTATTTCAATAAAAGTAAAATTTAGAACAGTTTACCAGGAAAGTCTTTTCAACAATATTTCCTATTTATGCAATAAAACCTAGAGAAGAGTGCAGAGAAGGAATTCCAGCGATTCCCCTCCCCGACATTGCCAGGTTTCCCTCCTGTGCTGACTCCCACACACGCTGCTGTCTCTTGTGTCTTAAAAGGAGAAAAACACTCAATCCCACTTCTCTTCAGCTGCTGTCTCATCTTCTCTCCTCTGTCTCCCAATTCTTCCTTCCGTTCTCTTTTGAACTCACTCTGATCAGCCGTTCACCCCCACCACACCATCAAAAGGCAAAGGTCACCAGTGATCTCACCACTAAATCCAAAGGTCAGGGCTGGGTTGTTCTGCACGAGACCCACAGCAGCCTCTCCTCCCCTCCCTGCTCAGCTGGCCTGCTCCCTCCTGGGAGGAGCCACTCCCTCCTGGGCTCCGTGTCTGACTCAGCCTGTGCCCAGACCTCTCCACGTTGGTCTCTGTTCTCTCCACTGATTCTCTGCGTTTTCAATCTGGGCTGACTTTAAATACTACCTGAATGCTGCCGACTCCCCGGTTACAAGTGCAGCCTGGGTCTCCTCCCTGGTCCTAGGTAGTCAACAAGACTGACTTGGCCAAAGATGAACTCCTGATGGCCCCCATCTGCCCTCCCGTGACTCTGCCCATTCTAGAAAGGGCAAACGTGATCCTTCTAGCTGTTCAGGGCAAACACCCTGCTGTCACCTGGGCCACTGTCTTTCTCTCGCGTCCCCTCCCCACCGATCTGATCCCCATCACTTCCTACACCCCCACTGCAAACGTTCTCCACGTCGCCAGCTCCCTTAACTGAATTCTGTCAATCGTCTCCTCTGTGGGATGTGACACTGGGCCCGCGGTGGCCCCTTCAGGTCTGAGACTGCTAGGAGTGTCACCCGTGGGGCCCTCCCCAGGAACCATCCTCAGCCAAAGACAAACAGCCACAGCCAACGTTCTGACCCCTCCCTGGAGCAGCCCACATCCCAGGACTGGTCCCGGTGGGACTCTAAAGCCCAGCCCCCTTGCCTAGTCAGACCTTCTCTCAAGGACCTTTCCGGCCCAGAGCTTCCCCCAAGATCATCGGAGGACTCTGTTGTGTCCCGCGCCACATCCTGCCGCCCTCACTCCGTCACAGGTGCCGCTCCCACAGGCACAGTCCCACAAGCTTCCTGAAGACAAATTCCATCCAGAGTCTGTTTTCCGGGGAACTTGACCTACCATTTCTTCCCACTGGTCCTCTTCCCGTTCCCAAGACGGTGGCCGGCGTAAGCCCGTTAAAACATAGGCCTGTTCCTGTCGTTCCTCTGCCAAACATCTAGAAGCTTCCATTTCGCTCAGAGTCAAGGACAGCATGACCTGCGTCCTGATGTGAGAGGCCCTCACGTCTCTGACTCAGTCTCCACGCACTCCCGGCTTTCCACTGCACTGCGGCCACGGTGGCCTCCTTGGCCTGCCTGGACCAGACCAGCCTCCTGCCTCAGGGCCTTGGCATGTGCTGCTGCCGCGGCCTGGGATACGCGTCCCCCCCACGTCCACACAGGTTCGCCCCCACTTCCTTCAGGTCTGCATGCAGACGTCACCTTCTCGGGGAGGCCTCCTCGGCCATTCTATTCACAGGTTCGGAGCCCCGTCTTTCACAGCTCCTACGCCCTCCTGCTTTCATCTTTCCCTTTAGCACCCGTCCCCATCTAACATGTGATGTGTGTCACTCATTCATCGTGTTTACTGCCTGTTCCCCCACACGGTGTGGGCTCCACATGGGCAGAGCTCTTGTATTGTGCATTGCTGGATGCCTAGAGCCCAGACGGTCCCTGGCGTGGAGTGCGCAGGGAATACTGCTTGAATAAATGAATTTAGAAATGTATCTGTTTTCCTCAGTTCACCTGCCTGCAATCAGATTCTCATCTACGGTTTACATCCATGTAGTTTAAGTATCATAAAGCCATGAACGACATACCTGGGCTACAATGTCTATGATTGTGCCCTTGATGTGGACATCCTCCAGAGGAACCAAGTTTCCAGAGGCGTCCTGGAGGCCGGCCTTGGTGCTGCTGCTGGAAGTTTTGGCATCTGGTAACTGATAATCTAAATGTTCAAAATGTTACCATTAGCTTTCCAAACCATCCCTGTCTGCTTTTTTGTTATTTTGATCTTTATTCCTCTCCATGCCTTCAGGCATTGTATTTTAGGGAAAATGGACCAAGAGCGTTTTATGATTTTCAATAGCCAATTCTGAAAGGCAAGTGAACCCACATGAGAAAAATGGGAGTTGCCTTCTGCCTTTTTTTGGGGGACAGCGTCTCACTCTGTCACCCAGGTGTGAGTGGAGTGGCACAGTCTCTGCTCATGGTAGACTTGTCTTTGGCTCAGATGATCCTCCCGAGCAGCTGGGACTACAGGTACACACACCACCATGCCCAGCTAATTTTTTGGTGTTTTTTTTTTTGTAGAGATGAGGTTTAGCCATGTTGCCCAGGCTGGTCTCGAACTCCTGGACTCAGGGATCTACCTGCCTTGACCTCCCAAAGTGCTGGGACTATAGGCATGAGCCACCATACCTGGCCTGCCCTTTTTTTTTTAAAAGACAATTCTGCTTAGTTTTCTTTTCTTCTTTTCTCTCTCTCTCTCTCTTTTTTTTTTTTTTTTTGGTAGAGATGGGGGTCTCACTGTGTTGCCCAGGCTGGTTTTGAACTCCTGTGCTCAAGTAATCATCCTGCCTCAGCCTCTCGAGTAGCTGGGACTACAGGCATGTGCTCTTCTGCCTTTTTAATGTAGAGACTCTGGCGTGTCCTCTTGAAAACTTAGCATTACTTGACATACATTTAAACATACAAATACACAGAGGTCTTCAGACTGTCTCGAACGTGGCTGAAGCCTGAATCCAGGCGTCTGCGTTCCCCGGTTTGTAACGTAGAAAGGCTCAGTCACTATCATTTATGGTACTACACAAGCATTCTGGCAAGACATGAAACAACCTACGGACGACTGAGTCAGCTCCTACGGCAGCATATTGAAAAACGTTCACACCCTTTTCTAAGTGGTACAAACACACAGATAAGGTTAGGAAATATAAACACATATCGTCTTACCAGATATTTCATTTAATGACTCCCAGAGAAAAAATTGGAGTCACCTCTGAGCACACATGAACTCACACATTTCTGATAAAAAAGAATTTGAGCATGGCCAAAAGTGTTACTGTGTTTTTACAGTCCTACTAATTAGTACTGTAATTGTTTGGGCTCGTGAGGATCTGAGAAGTGAACATCCTCTCATGTGGGCACACTACTGCTGCTAACACACGCACCGCACATGACCATTGACTCAGTGCCTTCAACGTCCCCTTCAACCCTTACAGCAATTCTGTCACGTGGGTACTGCTCTCATTCCCGTCGGAGAGAAGGTGGATCGCAAAACGTCGTGCAGTTTTAAGATTGCAGGGTGGCAGGGCGACACTCGAACCCCGGGCTTCCTCACTCGACAGCGGGTCTGCTGCCTGTTCTGTGCACCCCATTATACTTTCTGCACCATGACATCTTAGCAAGGTTCCACAGGTTTTAGCCTTGACTTTCGCTGAAGAGGATAAGCTCAACTGCAATGGGTTAATGAAGTCACATGGAATTCTGAGATGGCTTAACGTTTCTCAAACATCCTGATTTTTATGTAAGCAAGATAAAAAAGGAAATAAGGCTGGCCATGGTGGCTCACATCTGTAATCCTAGCACTTTGGGATGCCGAGGCAGGAGGATCGCTTAAGGCCGGGAATTTGAGACCAGTCTGGGCCACAGAGTGAGACCTTGCCTCTGAAAAAAAAAAAAAGTCACGTATGGTAGTCCCAGCTACTTGGGAGGTTGAGTCCGAAAAATCATTTAAGCCCAGGAGTTTGAGGCTGCAGTGAGCTTTGATCACACCACAGTACTCTAGCCTGGGAGATAAAGTGAGACCCTGTCTCAAAATAAATTTATATTTATATTTTAAAAGTAAGGGCTTTATTTTGACATTAGGCAGCGGGCTTGAGAGAAATTTGTGGGAAACAATTTTGAGATTGAAAGAAAATGAAATACTTATGGATCAGGTCATAGATATAACAAATGCAAATATACATTCCATTGAAAATGGAACATTTGAGGTCTATACATACAATAACATAAAACAGCATTCGAGAACATTGTCCTTCCTACCTTCGACCTTTGAAAAATCTGAAAACTCAGGTCTGCATTCCTCTAGTTCAGTATGATCACCAGGATGAAAGTCCTTTATTTGATCTCCAGGCATGGAAAATTTAATAATATATTTCATTTTAACCTGATTGGTTTTATAGACCACAAATTCATCATCCTAGAGAAAACAGAAATCAGTAGGTGATTAACAAGAGCAGCAACAAAAAGCCTGTATTGGCAGATGTTTTTGTAAAAGCATGCTTGCTAGTTTAGAATATGTTGAATTCCAACAGTAAATAGATAATAATTATTTAAACTTAAGCATATTTAATGAAAATAGGAGCAAAAATCGGAGGCTCTTCTTTGAGCATTCAAGACCCTCTTTGTGTGTTCCTTGATAGGAAAATACCTCAAAGTCTGTGGTGACAGAGGCTGTTTGTGAAACTCCATGCACACTGTCGTAGCCTGGTGGTGCTTCAGTTAAGGAAAAGTCCTTCTTGTGTAAGTCCATACACTTCCCGAGGGCTACGTCACAAATGAGCAGGAGTCTGGTGCCATCTGTCTCTCCCGGGTGTGAGTACTTGATACTTGTACTGCATGTGAAAAGAAATAAACACTTATTTATAGCTTACAGCGACCTGTCAATAACATTTTCTTGCATAAACAGGAAATATTATTGGTAAACTGTTCTAAATTTTCCTATTACTGAAATATCTCCAAAGACTCAATTTAGAACTTTATTATACACTTATTTATCTAATATTTCTTCTTCTTCTTTTTTTTTTTTTTCTAGGCAGAATCTTGCTTTGCTACCCAGGCTACAGTGCAGCGGCACGATTATAGCTCATTGCAGTCTCAGTCTCCTGGGCTCAAGTGATCCTCCCACCTCGACCTCCTGAGTAGCTGGAACTACAGGTATGTACCACCACACCTGGTTAACTTTTTAACTTTTTTGCAAAGATGGGATCTCACTATGTTTCTCAGGCTGGTCTCAAACTCCTGGGTTCAACTGTTCCTCCCTTCTCAGCCTCCCAAAGTGCTGGGATTACAGCCGTGAGCAATCATGCCTGGCCTATTTCACATTTCTATGTGACAAACACGTATACTGCCCTTAGGCTTTGCTAGGCAGCACTCAAAGCACTGTTCCCAGAGGGAAATGAATTCTACTGTTCTCCTCAATCTTCATTAGCTACTAACATATACACATTTTGCTATCATAAATACCAGGGTGGTAAAAGAGAAGGAAAAATCACCACCTTTCTAATTAGGAAAAGGTAGATTTAATTCTCTGCACTAAAGCTCAGAAAGGAGTAAGAACCGTGAGTACCAAGTGAGTAAGAACTGGTCAAAGGGAAAGATGAGCTCTCACAAAACCTCCTGAATGGAAAACAAACACTTTAAATGATATCTACACGAGAAATGTTTTCTCTTTCTTCAGGAATCAGCAGCTTTAATAAGGCAACTCTTGCTGTTAGGAGTCTAGGACACACCTTTGGGGACAACATTTTGGAGACGCATCTCTATTTTTTTTTTTTTTTTTTTTTGAGACGGAGTTTCGCTCTTGTTACCCAGGCTGGAGTGCAATGGCGCGATCTCGCCTCACCGCAACCTCCGCCTCCTGGGATCAGGCAATTCTCCTGTCTCAGCCTCCTGAGGAGCTGGGATTACAGGCACGTGCCACCATGCCCAGCTAATTTTTTTTTGTATTTTTAGTAGAGACGGGGTTTCACCATGTTGACCAGGATGGTCTCGATCTCTTGACCTCGTGATCCACCCGCCTCGGCCTCCCAAAGTGCTGGGATGACAGGCTTGAGCCACCGCGCCCGGCTATTTTTTTTTTTTTTTTTTTTTTTTTTAAGATGGGGTTTCGCTCTTGTTACCCAGGCTGGAGTGCAATGGTGCAATCTCAGCTCACCACAACCTCCACCTCCTGGGTTCAAGCGATTCTCCTGCCTCAGCCTCCTGAGTAGCTAGGACTACAGGCACGCGCCACCACGCCCAGCTAATGTTTTTGTATTTTTAGTAGAGACGGGATTTCACCACGTTGGCCAGGATGGTCTCGATCTCTCGACCTCGTGATCCACCCGCCTCAGCCTCCCAAAGTGCCGGGATTACAGGCGTGAGCCACCGCACCCGGCCGATGCATCTCTATTTTTAAAAGATCAAGTTCAAAATGCAAAAGTATGGTCAGACAACCCTTCTTTGTTTCACCCACTGAAAAAAAAAATAAGTCCCCCAATCCTTCTATAACTCTCTCCCCTCTGGAGAGCTCTTTCCCTGCAACTTACAAGCAGGCTTCTTCCTTCGCATGAAGCCCCATTCTGGCCTTCTCCCTGGAGCTCTCTCGGCTCCTTCCTAGCTTATCACACTCTGGCAGAGGAGGCTAGTGACCATCTCTTCTGGCTCATGCACTCCTGATCTGCTGCTATCTGGCTCAATTCACATCTAAAAATTTTTACTTTGCTATATTGTGCATAAGGAAAAGCATTTATAATATACATATTGAAAGAATAATTCCATAAATATCCATATAGCTACCGCTTAGCTTAAGAACTAGAACATCCCTAAAGCTTCTATGCTGCCCCACAGCTCACTTCTCCCACCCAGAGGTAATTTGATCACTGTCTTGATTTTTGTGTATATTATTTTCTCTTTTTCTCCATGTGGAATTTATTCCATAAGGAGCCACAGAGGGGACCCTGGGTAGGTGGGAGAGGTTTTACTGCGTCCCCCTTTTTTTTAATAACAGTTTTGTCTTTTTTTTTTTTTTTTTTGAGACATGCTCTTGCACTATTTCACCCAGGCTGGAGTGCAGTGGTGCAATCAGAGCTCTCCACAGCCTCAACCTCCTGGGCTCAAGCAATTCTCTCACCTCAGTCTCCTGAGGCTGGGACTACAGGTGTGCACCACTGTGCCTGGCTTAATTTTAAAAACATTTTTGTAGCCATGGGGCCTCACTATGTTGCCCAGGCTGGTCTTGAACTCTTGGCCTCAAGAAATTTTTCCGCCTTGGCCTCCCACTGGCTGGAGCCGAAATGCCTGGCCTATTTTCTTTCATAGCATTAACACACAGATACATGTCCCGCAACAATGTAATGTATACTTTTGCTTGTTTTTGAGCCTTGCACATACAGGCATACCTTGTTTTATTGTACTTTGCAGATATTGCTTTTCTTTTTTCTTTTCTTTTCTTTTTTTTTTTTTTTTAACAAATTGATGGTTTGTGGCAACCCCGTGTAGAGCAGCTCTACTGGTGCCATTTTTCCTTCTTTAAACAGCACGTGCTTCCTCTGTGTCTCTATGTCACATTTGGGTAATTCTCACAATGTTTCAAAGCTTTTCATTTTTATTATAGCCGTAATAGCGATGTGTGGTCAGTGGTCTATGATGTTACGACTGTAACTGTTTTGGGGTGCAATGAACTGTGCCCATATAAGGTGGTGAGCTTGTTAAATGCTTTGTGTGTTCTGACTACTTCACTGACCAGTGGGTTCCCCAGCTCTCTCCTTCTTCTCTGGCCCCCCTATTCCCTGAGATACAATGATACTGGAATTAGGCCAGTTAATAACCCTACAGTGGCCTCTAAGGGTTCACGTGAAAGAGAGGGTCACATGTCTCTCACTGGAAATCAGAAGCTAGAAATGATTAAGCGTCGTGAGGAAGGCATGTTGAAAACCAAGACAAGTTGAAAGTTAGGCCCCTCGTGCCAAACAGTTATCCGAGTGGTGAATGTCAGGAAATAATTCTTGAAGGAAATTTAAAGTGCTACTCGAGTGGAACACAGGCATGATAAGTGTAACAGCCTTATTTCTGGTATGAAGAAAATTTTCACGGTCTGGATAGAAGATCAAACCAGCCACGATATTTTTTTTAAGCCGAGCGTAATCCAGAGCAAGGCTCCAACTCTGTTCAATTCTGTGAAGGCTCAGAGAGGTAAGGAAACCACAGAAGGAAGGCTTGAAGCTAGCAGAGGTGGGCTGAGGTTGAAGGAAAGAAGCCGTCTTCATAAAATAAAAATGCAAGGCGAGGCAGCAGGTGCTGATGTAGAAGCTGCAGCAAGTTTTCCAGAAGATCTAGCTAAGAGCATTGATGCAGGTGGCTTCACTAAATCACAGAGTTTCCACGTAGACCAAACAGCCTTCTAGGAAGAAGATGCCGTCTAGAACTTCCACAGCTCGAGAGGAGTCAATGGCTGACTTGAAAGCTTCAGATGACAGGCTGACTCTTGTGAGGGACTAATACAGCTGGTGACTATAAGCTGAAGCCAGCGCTTACTTGCCATTCAAAAAAATCCCAGGGCCCTTAGAATTGTGCTAAATCGACTCTGTCTGTGCTCTCTAAACAGAACAACAAAACCTGGATGATAGCACATCTGTTTACAGAATGGTTTACTGAATTTAAAGCCCAATGTAGACATTTACTGCTCCACAAAAAAGTTTCCTTTCAGAATATGATTGCTCACTGACAAAGTGCCCAGTCATCCAAGAGATCTGATGGAGAGATACAAGGATTTTGTTGTTTTAATGCCTGCTAACACAACTTCCATTCTGCAGCCAGGGATCAAGGAGTAATTTTAGCTTTCAAACCTTATTATTTAAGAAATACGGGCCGGGTGCGGTGGCTCATGCCTGTAATCCCAGCACTTTGGGAGGCCAAGGTGGGTGGATCACGAGGTCAGGAGATTGAGAGCATCCTGGCCAACATGGTGAAACCCTGTCTCTACTAAAAATACAAAAAAAAAAAAAAATAGCTGGGCATGGTGGCATGTGCCTGTAGTCCCAGCTACTCGGGAGGCTGAGGCAGGAGAATTGCTTGGACCCAGGAGGCAGAGATAGCAGTGAGCCGAGATTGTGCCACTGCACTACAGCCTGGGCAACAATGTAAGACTCTGTCTCAGAGAAAAAAAAAAAAAAAAGAAAAAGAAAAAGAAATACATTTTGGGCTGGGTGCAGTGGCTCATGCCTGTAATCCAAGCACTTTGGGAGGCTGAGTTGGGTGGATCATCTGAGGTCAGGAGTTCAAGACCAGCCTGACCAGTATGATGAAACCCTGTCTCCACTAAAAATACAAAAATTAGCTGGGCATGATGGCATGTGCTTGTAATCCCAGCTACTCAGGACGATGAGACAGAAGAATCGCTTGAACCTGGGAGGCAGAGGTTGCAGTGAGCAGAGATCGTGCCACTGCATTCCAGCCTGGGCAAGAGTGAAACTCCATCTCAAAAAAAGAAAAAAAAAAAAAGAAAAAAGAGAAGAAAACAACAGAAATACATTTTGGCCAGGCATGCCTGTAACCCCAGGAGTCTGAAGTGGGATGATCACTTGAGTCCAGGAGTTTGAGGTTCCAGGGAGCTATGGTTGCATCTTACTGTACTCTCGCCTGGGCAAGGATGGAGAAAGACCCCAACTCTAAGACATAGATACATTTTTTAGGTCTGTAGCTGCCACAGACAGTGATTCCTCTGATGGATCTGGACAAAGGAAATTGAAAACCTTCTAAAAAGGATTCACCATTCTCCTTGCTCTTAAGGCCATTTGATGAGTTATGGGAGGAGGTCACCCTATCAGTATTGACAGGGGTTTGGAAGAAGTTTACTCTAACTATCCTGGGTGACTTTGAGAGGTTCAAACTTCAGTGGAGGAGGTCGCTGTACACGTGGCAGAAACAGCACGAGAACTAGAGTTAGCAGAGGAGCCCGAAGAGGGGACTGAATTGCTGCAATCTCATGATCCACCTTGAATGAATGAGGAGTTGCTTCTTATGCACGAGTGAAGAAAGCGGTTTCTTGAGGTGAAATCTATTCCTGGTGAAGATGTTGTGGATGTTGTTGAAATGACAACAAAGGATTTTGAATATTAGATAAACTTAATGATAAAGCAGCAGCAGTGTTTGAGATAATTGACTGAAATTTTCAAGGAAGTTCTACCGCAGGTAAATGCCATCAAATAGCATCACATACGACGGACAAATCTTTCATGAAAGGAAGAAGAGTCAATCGCTGAGGCAAATTTCATTGCTGTCTCATTTTAAGAAATCGACACAGCCACCTCAACTTTCGGCAAACACCACCCTCATCGGTCAGCAGCCATCAACACGAAGACCTTCCACCAGCAAAAAGACAATGGCTCACTGAAGGCTCAGGTGATCATTAGCATTTTTAGTAACAAAGTATTATTTTAAAATTAAGGTCTGCACATTGTTTTTTTTACACACGATGCTGTGGCACACTTAATAGAGTGTAAACCTTTTACACTCATTGCGAAGCCAAAAAATGTGTGTGACTCACTTTATCGCAATACTTGCTTAATTGCATTAGTGTGGAACCAGACCCTCAATATCTCCACGATATGCCTCATATAACAACTTCTGCCCCACTAAGGTCCTAAGGCTCATCCATTCGACACGTGTAGCCACAGTCCATTCCTTTAAACTTCAGGATAGGACTTCATGTAGGACTCCACCAAAATTTATGGATCGATTCCACTGTCAATGGACGTCTGCATCATTTCCAGTGTTCTGTTATTACAGTGCTCTCGCTCTCTCTCTCTTTTCATTTTTCTTCTCTTTTTTTAAGAGACGGGGTCTGGCTCTGTCTCCCAAGCTGGATGTAGTGGTGCAGACACAGCTCACCTGCAGCCTTGGACTGCTGGACTCAAGCAATCCTCCTGCCTCAGCCTCTTGAGTAGCTTGGACTACAGGTGTGTACCACCATGCCTGGCTAATTAAAAAATGTTTTTTGTTTTTTGTTTTTTTTCCAGAGATGGGGGGTCTTGCTGTGTTGCCCAGGCTAATCTCAAACTCCTGGACTTGAGCAATCTTTCTGCCTCAAACTCCTGAGTAGCTGGGACTGCATGTGTCTGCCACTACACTCAGCTCATTTTCTGAGACAGGGTCTTGCTCTGTCACCCAGGCTGGAGTGCAGCGGTGTGATCCCAGCTCACTGCAGTCTCCGCCTCCTGAGTTCAAGTGATTCTCCTACTTCAGCCTCCCAAGGAGCTGGGACAACACGTATGCACCACCACGCCCAGGTAATTTTTGTATTTGTAGTAGAGATGGGGTTTCGCCACATTGGACGGGCTGCTCTCAAACTCCTGACCTCCAGCAGTCTACACGCCTTAGCCTTCTCAAGTGCTGGGATTACAGGCATTAGCCACTGTGCCTGGCCCCAGCTCATTTTCTTTGCTTTTAGGTTTCCATTCATGCCTTTTGCCCATATGCTTACAGGGTTGCTTGTCTTTTTCTTCTTGATTTGTAGGAACTCTTCAAATATCCTGGCTCATTGTCCTTTGTCCTGGGCTTGAAATCAGTCTTCATCTTTTAAATAGCTCTGCAACCTTAGGCAAGTTGCCTGACCTCCCTGAGACTGTTTCCTTGCATAAAATGATGTCACAATAGCAATTATGAGGTTGGCAGATGAAGTACATGGAGTTCTTCTCACTGTGTTGCCCACACTGGACTGCAGTGGCGTAATCATAACTCACTCCAGCCTTGAACTCCCGGACTTGAGTGAACCGCCCATCTCAGCCTCCCTAATAGCTAGAACTGTGGGTTTGATTCGTGCTACCATGCAAAGCTAATTTAAAATTTTTTTTTTCTAGAGGTGAGGTCTCACTATGTTGCCTAGGCTGGCCTTACATTCCTGGGCTCAAGCGATCCTCCTGCCCTGGCCTCCCAAAGAGCTGGGATTACAGTGTGAGCCACCACGTCTGGCCCAAAGGCAGATTTTAACATTATCAAGGATGTTGAAGATGAAACCGTATTCTAGGTGTACTGAGGTCATGTATAACAGATAAACCTGTGTTTTGGGTGAGAAACTCCCTCATCAAGAGAAGACAGAAGAAAATACACAGCAAGAAAACTCGGTAACGATTCTGCGATTAAAGATCAAACATACCTGAGTGAGTCACTGAAATAAATCCCGCTCCCAAGGTTTCCGACGTCTGTTCTTTGCACACCACGATCCTCCACTACTTTGGGTAAAAGCAACCCTCTGAAAAGACAAGGGCAGAATAAGGGGTAAGCCCGATGCCGGACTGCATCCTCCCTCCCTCCCAACTTCGGCAGGTTCCTACTGAACTTCTGGTTTCCAGAGAACTCCGCAATCGGGGTGACACCATGGTTGTTTCTGGGAACACAGGTAAAGGGGGATTTCTGCCTTTTCTTAGATAAATATCTATTGTTTGAATTTTGTATGAGGAGATCCAATGAATTTAGTAAAATGGCTTTTGGGTTTTTGTCCTACTTAGAAAGCTCATTCCTACTTAAGGACTATTTTAAAAAGATTCTTCCATTTTTCATTTAGTATACTTTTATGGTTTGATCTAAATATTTAAATAGTTGTTCAATGAGGTAAGGGTCGAACTTCATATTCTTTCCTTGCGGTCACCCATTTATCTCTATAACTAGTACTGAAAAACTCGTCTCTCTTCCACAGAGATAAGATCTACTGGTATCGTATCTTAAATCTTCTGTGTTTTTAATCTTAGTATCACCCTCATTAGGCTTCTTTTCCAGAATTATTCTGGTAATTTCAAAATTAAAAAAAAATAGGTGTTACAGAATCAGCTTTTCATTTCTTTAAAAAATCGTATTGGTAATTTTATCATGAAAGCACTACATTTGTAGATTAATCCAAGAAAAACCAGCATCCTCTGATTAACGCAAGTTGTCTTTTGGGTCCCTCGGTAGCAGTTTAATGGATTTTTGTTTTTCCTTTTTTTCCCCAGGTGGATCTTGTATGTTTCTTAAGTTCCTTCTAAGTCCTTAAAGAATCTACATTTAATAATATCTTCTCCTGCTCCTGTGACTTCGGTTTCAGCCCAAATATTAAGTAGCAATTCAAAGCAAACAGAATCTTAGAGTTACGTTTGAAATAAATAACCCATGTCGTCTGGTGCACACTCTGACTTCTGGACTCTTCTCTTTTAATATTGGGCTATCCCGAGATTAGATCCAGATGGAGGAGTCATGAATATAGAATCACTTTTCTTCATATGATACAGTCTTCAAGAAGCAATTCGTACCTATGTACTATATTTAAATAGAAGAAATACATAATTTTTAAAAATAGAGATGGGGTCTTGCTAGGTTTTCCAGGCTGGTCTTGAACCCTTGGCCTCAAGTGATCCTCTCGCCTCAGCCTCCCAGAGTGCTAGGACTACAGGTATGATCCACCATACCCAGCCATAAATACATAATTTAACTTATACACTCAATTACGAATTATTACACAATTATAAAGTGTGTAATTTTCTCCAGCATGTAGTAAACTAGTTGATTTTGACTGAAAAGGCTCATGTAATATAGAAAAGAGTAGGAAAAGCAAAGCAAAATGTTTCACATTTGTGAGGTTGAAAATTTTGAGAAATAAAGATGGCGACCCTTACCGACACAAGATTCCCACGATGTTTCGCACAGGCGAACCGTGCAACAAGCGCCTCACATTGCCAAGTTTGCTCAAAAACTCTGTGGTTTCGTTCACTCTGCCAACTCTAAATATCTGCGAGATATCCACTGGGCTCTTACTGTAAAAATTAGAAGAAAAGGTTTTCGATGACGTAACTGAAAACAAAACAAAGAATCCTTATAGCAGAAGAAATCCCAGAAGGGTCCAAATGTCCATTATCAGGAAATGGATTCAATGAGCCACAACACAGCATATCTTGGAAGTATTATGCAGCTATTAGAAAATCAAATTCTTCTCCAGGCGCGGTGGCTCAAGCCTGTCATCCCAGCACTTTGGGAGGCCGAGGCGGGTGGATCACGAGATCGAGACCATCCTGGTCAACATGGTGAAACCCTGTCTCTACTAAAAATACAAAAATTAGCTGGGCATGGTGGTGCGTGCCTGTAATCCCAGCTACTCGGGAGGCTGAGGCAGGAGAATCACCTGAACCCAGGAGGCGGAGGTTGCGGTGAGCCGAGATCGCGCCATTGCACCCCAGCCTGGGTAACAAGAGCGAAACTCCGTCTCAAAAAAAAAATCAAATTCTTCAAAAAAACAAGGATATGTGGTAAAGTGTACAGTAGCATATAAACTTTAAAAGCCAATGACAAAACTTTATACGTAGTATGATCCCAATTTTGTCAAATATAGAATATATAGGATATATTGTTCTTGCTCTGGGTGACAGAGCAAGACCATGTCTCCTAAAAAAAATAAAAAAATAAAAAAGAATGCAACTTCTAGCCTCTCCCAGGACTTTGGGAGGCCAAGGCAGGTGGATCACCAGAGGTAAGGAGTTCAAGACCAGCTTGGCCAACATGGGTGAAACCCCGCCTCTACTAAAAATACAAAAATTAACGGGGCGTGGTGGTGCCTATCTGTAGTCTGAGTAGGCAGAATTGCTTGAACCCAGGGGGTGGAGGCTGCAGTAAGCTGAGGTTGTGCCACTGCATTCCAGCCTGGTGACAGGGCGAGACTCCATTTCAAAGAAAAAAGTGATCAAATACCTAATTTTAAGTGTTTAGAAACCAATCAGGTTTGAAGAGAGTGCTGTCAAAAAAGGCCTCTCTTGGGAGGTGACATTTATTGGTGGTACCATAAAATGTGTATTTTATGACCTCACTGGTTATTATGGGTTGGATGCCATCATCATCATCATCATCATCATCATCATAGTTGGATGCCATAATAATAATTACAGGAGTAGAGAACATCTGGAAGGACATTGTAGATGGGATAAAGAGGGTGGCACCGTGAATGGAAGTGAGATCACGGATGAAGGACACTTTGAAGGCAGAATTGACAGAACATGGGATTGTGGAGATGAGGAGCAGGGAGACCCCACACGAGTTCTGAGTGGGGAGCTGAGGTGGGACAATGGCAGGGGGGCCTGGGGTGTGGCAGAGGGCAGCGCTGTGGTGGGAGGAAGGGCACATCTTCCCAACGCCACGTCCGGCGGCCTCAGGTCAGTGCCTTGACATTAGCTATGATGGGAGTACTTGCTCCCCAGCGCTCAGCCAATATTCCAGACCAGGACTCGTTCTTTACAGAGCTGGCTAACCAGCACCCCGCCAGGGTAAGCAGCATTGGGGTGATTCCGGCTAGGTTATGTTCTACACCCAAATCTTAACAGTGGTCATATTATCTCTGGGTGGTGAGATTGAGTGATTTTTCATTTTTTAATTCGCTTCATATTTTTAGCTATTTTCCAAGCTTTTAGCAAAGAACATGTTTTATAACTAGAAAAAAAAAATAGAAAAGAATCATGATTACTGAAATGAAATGAAGAAAATTTAATTTTTCACAGCAGCAGGATCTTTCCTTAGGAAGAAGCCCACTTGAGCTGTGTGACTGCTTTTGTATTTGGGGGGTGGGGTGGCTCGCCAAGGGCTTGCTCGGGTAGCCCCGGAGGGCCGAACCGCAGCTGCCACGCGGGGGCTCGACGTGGCTCTTCCTGTCTTCCTGGAAAACTGACTCCCCTCCTGATTGTACCTTCCTTGTCACCGGACTCTTAGTTAGTGTAGATCAGTGGACACCGGGAGGGTCAAAGGTCAAACCAAAAAGTCAAACCGATTGGATGACATATAAAAACAGAATCTGGAGAAGGTCTGTAGGGATGAAGGCTTTTGAGGCAGAGTCTTGCTCTGTTTCCCAGGCTGGAGTGCAGTGGCATGACCCTGGTTCACTGTAACTTCACCGCCTGGGTTCGAGCTATTCCTGTGCCTCAGTCCCCAGAGGAACTGGGACCACAGATGTGTGCCGCCATGCCTGGCTCATTTTTGCATTTTTAGTAGAGATGGGGTTTCCCCATGTTGCCCAGGCTGGTCTCCAACTTCTGACTTCAAGTGATCCGCCCACCTTGGCCTCCCAAAGTGCTGGGCTTACAGGTGTCAGCCACCATGCCTGGCTCAGATTGTTAAAAAATTAGAGTGAAATTCCAAAAAGATAAAATTAACCATTAAGTATACAATTCAGTGGTATTGAGTACAGAACATTGAAAATGTCATGTAATCACCACCTCGAGTTCCAAAATGTTTATTTGCCCAAAAGGAAACCCCATACCTTTTGGCTGTCAGTCCCTATCCTTCCCTCTCATGGTACGAGGCAATTTGCTATCGCTGTGGATTTATCTATTTTAGATATTTCATATAAATAGAATCACATAATATGTGGCTTCTTTCACTCAGCATAATATTTTTGAGGTCTACCCATCTGTAGTATGTGTCAGTACTTCATTCCTTTTTCATGGCTGAATAGTATTCTTTACGTATATTTATCACTGTTTTGTTTATCCACCCCCTGTTGATGAACATTTGGGTTATTTCCACTTTTTGGCTGTTTTGAATAGTGTTGCCATGAATATTCATGTACGAGCACCTATCTGAGTACTTGCTTTCAAGTCCTTTGAGTATAGAACTAGGAGTGGAATCGGTGGGTCTTATCCTATCCCATGTTTAACTTGGTGAGGAACCATCAAACAGAGGCTGCATCATTTTCCCCTCCCACTAGCAATGTGTAAGGCTTTCAGTCTCTCTACATCCTCACCGATGCTTATAATTTTCCACTAAACATAAATCATAGCTATCTCAGTGGGTGTGAAGTGGTTCTGGGAGTGGATTTTGAGGAGGATCAAGGAAAGCAGGACATAGTTTTAGTGAGATCCGAGTCAAGCCGTAAGGTAAGAGTGGGCTCTGGAAAACCAGTTCTCCACACACCAGCAGCAATGCCCCTGCACAGCCCGGATCTGCAGCATTCGCTGATTTCCAGGGGGTGCAAATCCTCCCTGTGTCCAATGTCAAGTTACCAGTGGTTTAACCACCAGTTCACCAAACCTCTGAAATGTTGACAACTGGCTCCTATCAGCTGGTACGTGCAGCTACAGCTCACGACCCTTCGTTCTAAGGGCTGTGCCACGCTGACGAAGAGGAACTGCTGCAGTGGAATGAACCACCAGGTCCGCAAGAGTCAGTCCCATGCCTGAGAACAAACATGCACTGGAGTTTCTGCACCGGGAAGCTGGGCACAGACTCAGCCACGGTGACCCTCACGGGTGCTCACACCCAGTGAGGGCTCGTCTCAACAGCTGCTCCATCATGTGTGTGTGACTGGAGAATGCACGTCAGCACAGGGCCCTGGGTGTGCGCAGTGAGTGAGGGCGCAAGTGTAACTGGTATTGAGGAAGGTGTTTTCCAGGTTTTCGGGTGCAGTTCCTCCTGCCACAGAGAGGCCACGTCAGAAGACGCCATACACCTATTTCTGCATGTTTAAACCCTAGTTTAAGTGGCTTTTTCTCTGTAATAACCTACAAAATACAAACCCAAGCACCTTTTGAGTTAAAAACTTTTAATTTAATCTGCAACAAGATTAGGTAACCTTGAAGTCAGAGTGGAAGATAGAAGGTGTTTTCAAGCACAGAATACTGCCCCAGGCACTGTTATGAACACAGAAGAAAGTCATTTGTCAGCGGGCCGCTGCTACTGCGGCTTGTTGCTGAAGATGAAATGATCTAGGGAATTACTGTGATCAGCTCTTTATCAGAGTCTCAAAGAGCATTGTATGGTAACAGATCTCGAGATACTTCCTTTATGCTTACCTGTGATTATTCTGCAAAACCTCTTGTCTAACCCTGAGAAATTCTTCAGTATTCTTTTCAACATGCTCAATTTTGCATCTCACAGCTCGGTATTTGGCAAGGGACGGTGGGTTGGGTTTGGACAAATGAGTTTCACAGACGTTAACCATGTCTCTGATGAGCTGCCGGTGGAAAGAATATATAGATATCAGAATTACCACATGTCAAAATTCATATTTATATTACATTCACGCTTTCTCACAAAGATGGGAAAAGCCCATTTTCCCCAAAGCTAGTTTTACTTTCTTTATGTACTTATTTTTGAGACAGGTCTTGATCTCACCCACTCTGGAGTGTAGTGGCATGACCACAGCTCACTGCAGCCTCAACCTCCCGGGTTCAAGCAACCCTCCTACCTTAGCCTCGTAAGTAGCTGGGACCACAGGTACGAGCCACCACTGCACTCAGCTTTCCCAAAAGCTTTTGATCAATATTTGCCATTAGTGGTGCATTAAAGTTCATGTAGCTGGGTGCGGTGGCTGATACCTGTAATCCTAACGCTTTGGGAGGCTGAGGCAGGAGGATCACTTGAGGGCAGGAATTCAAGACCAGCCTGGGCCACATGGCGAAACCCCATCTCTACTGAAAATATAAAAAATTAGCCAGGGATGGTGGCACATGCCTGTAAACCCAGCTACTTGGGAGGCTGTGGCATAAGAATCATCGGAACCCAGGAGCGGGTGGTTGCGGTGAGCTAAGATCGCACCACTGAACTCCAGCCTGGGCAACGAAGCGAGACTCTGTCTCAAAAACAAAAAGCAAAAAAGGTTAATATGATTGCCTTACTGATAGCACAATGTATGATCGTGGTTGTAGAGTACATCGGTACAGCACATAATTGTTAAAAACGGGTTTTCATACACATTGCTCATTTATTCCTCACTACGACACTAAGATCGATGTTATTATCCTCATTGCACAGATGAGCAAAGTGAGGCTCTGCGATGTCAATCAATGGTTCAGGACCCCACGGTGAGGAGCAGACAGTGACCAGATGGGATCTCAGAACCCCGAGACTTCACATCCAATTCTGCTTCGACAATTCAGTAGGTGTGTTTGCTATGCCAGACACTGGATTAGGTTAGACACATCGATGAATAAGGCATGGGTTCCTTCCCTGAGTGGAAACCCAAGTATTCCTTTGTCTATTCCCGAATCCTGGAGCTCGGAGAAGGGAACTCCAGCCCCAGTTTAAGGTGGGTTCCGTTTAGTCTCTGGACTTGCTGTTGTCACATCTTATTATGATGATGATTTTTTGAGATGGAGTCTCTCTCTGTCTCCCAGGCTGGAGTGCAATGGCACAATCCTGGCTCACTGCAACCTCCGCCTCCCGGGTTCAAGCAATTCTTGTCTCTCATCTTTATGACGGTCGTATGGGGAGGGCCTTTCCAACTATAACTCAAACTCACCAGCCATCAAAGATCGATGCGTTTTTCTGTATCAAAGCAAAACAATCTTCAGTGGGGTAGAAATAAAACAAGTTCACCACCACCACTGATACCAAAAACTCACTGGAAGCCAAGTAAAAAGACAAACGAGAGAATATCTGCAACTCCTGTCACAGAGGCTTACCTTCTAATACAGGAGGAATCCTTACAAAGCATGAAGAAAAGCGGCAGGACCCAAAAGAACAAAGGAAAGAAAACAGACAGTTTGCAGAGGGAGAAATGAACGGCCACAGTCGTCCGGAAAGGTGCTCCGCCTCACAGCACTGAGGGGTTACGTCTCATCCCTAAGGTTAGTCAAAGCATCCGAGTTTGACAACCATGCTCTCGGCAAGGCTCTGGGAAACAGAAACTCTCCTTCTTTGAGGGTAGGTGGGCAAAAGGGTGCAGAGCTTAGCAGAGAATCAGCTACTATCTATCCCTAAAGCCAGCCCTTCTCAGGCCCCATCCCAGAGACAATCCTGTACAAGGGCCAAATGACAAACACACAAGGTTATTCACTGGGGCACTGTCTGTTGCAGCAAAATCCAAAAAAGACAGCAAAGGCCTGGCAGGAGGGTACAGCCCACGATGCAGCCCATCCCACAGTGGACTGCGACAACGAGGGGCAGCTGCCTCCGGGATACATGGAGAAAAGCAAGATGCAGAACAGCAAAGACAGTCTTTGGATACAAAAATGGGAATGAGAATTTATGTTTATACGGTTGGGCACGGTGGCTCACGACTGTACTCCCAGCACTTTGGGAGGCAGAGGCGGGTGGATCACTTGAGGTCAGGAGTTCGAGACCCGCCTGGCCAGCATGGTGAAATCCCCATCTGTACTAAAAATACATAAATCAGCTGGGCATAGTGGCGGGCGCCTGTAATCCCAGCTACTCAGGAGATTGACTCAGGAGAATCGCTTGAACCCAGGAGGTGGAGGTTGCAGTAGGCCCAGATCGCGCCAGTGCACTCCAGCCCAAGAGACAGAGAAAAAAAAAAAAAAGAATTTATGTTTATACATGTATTTGTATTAAGGAACTGTGAAGACAAAAATAAATGAATAAAATTAGTTACCTATGGAGTTGGGGAGGGGAATAGGGTGGAGTGAGCAGGGTAGAACAGGGATTCCTCTGAGTCTATCTTTTGAACATAATTTTGCCTCTTGAATCATGCAGATGTAGTATCTATTCAAAATATAAATTTAAAAGAAAATATATTTGAATGGGCACTATACATTCCCTCTTAGCAACACTGATGACTGAGATGATGATGATGATTGTTATTTTTTGAAATGGAGTTGTGCTCTTTTTTTGAGATAGAGTTTCCATGCCCAGGCTGGAATGCAGTGGCATAATCTTGGCTCACTGCAGCCTCCACCTCCCAGGCTCAAGTGATTCTTCTGCCTCAGCCTCCTGACCGCTATGTCTGGCTCATTTTCGTATTTTTAGTAGAGACGGGTTTGGTCATGTTGGCTAGGCTGGTCTCGAACTCCTGACCTCAGGTGATCCACCTGCTTTGGCCTCCCAAAGTGCTGGGATGATAGGTGTGAGCCACCACGCCTGGCCCACTGATATCCTTTATGTTGGATGTCAGGTAAATCACAGAATTTTAAATCTGGAAGGGTCTTATATCTTCTCATTGACCAGTTCCTTCCTTCTTCTGGATTACTGATTCCTCTAGGAATCTGCTGAAAGCGATCATTTCCCAAACATGCAAAATTTCACGTCTCTAAACTCCTCTGAAGTCTAGGACACAGATCTCTGATCTTGGCCCAATCCCTGCATACACAGATGAGGCCATGCGGAGCCAAAGAGTGACTTCAGCCTCGTCCAGGGCAGGGCTGGCTGCTGGGGACACCTTCCTCTACTCACTGAGCCTGCTCCTCTCCTGGCAGCTCAGAAGAGACGGCCCATTTCTGAGCAGCCACAGTGGCTCCAGTCTCCTCGACAGTGACTGCTTTGCGCACGTGACTCGATTCTGACCAGAGAAAGAGGAGTCGGCCAGAGGCCTTTCTCTAGGAGACACAGAAAGAGCTATTACAGATGTGATGCTATGAACTGCTGCAGCTATCTGTGGATCACGAGGAAGCTGGGCTGAGAGCAGAGCTGTCAGCTCTACAGGAGGTACCGAGGGATGGAAAGAGGCTGGGACCCTGCCGATAACACTGACACGCTGAGTCTTGGGGTGACGGGGGCCAGCAGGCAGCCCACAGCTCGATTTCTCATTGTCTGAGGAAGAAAATGTTCTCTTTGTTTCAGTCACTGGCGGTTTCCCGTTTCTTCTGCAGAGAGGATCCTAACTCATTCCAGGGCCTGAAAAGTTATTTCAGAAGATAGCAGTTCTAGACCTATTTCTGCATTTATGTCACCATGCCAACCTATTCACACTTGAAAAGACGGTTGAAGTAACTTTCATAAGGACCCTGGGCTTTCTAAAACGGTTCAACAAGTTATTTTCTAGCACGACTCTGGAGAGAATTTCATGATTCAGTGTTACCTTAATCATCAGAGTTTTAAAGACCCTCACCCCCAACAGACTTTCTAATCCACTGAATTCTGTGTTTCCGAGGTTTACCTGGCAGAGGTCTGCTTTCTTAGCCAATAGTCCCAGATTCACTTCTTTGGGCATCGTGCCTTTGTGAGGTATCAGTCTGTAGAACTCTGTCATCATCTTCTGCAGTTGCTCTGCTGTTTCTCCATGTTTCAGCGCTGCCTTCACTAGAAGGAGAACCCCCTCGGCCTTGCTTACCTTTCAACAGAAGACCACATAGGCTTATTGAAACGAAATTTTGATACAGAGATTGAGGAACACGCACAAAAATATCCAAAACGATTGCTGGACACGTCAAAACTATCCATTTTCTACCGAACAGCTATCGCAGAGCAGATGCCCATCTTTACTGGAGACGTAGCTCAGTGGTGACACTGATGCCATGAGGATGATTGCAAACCTGGGCTCGGTTTTACTAGACCAAAGAAGCAGAGTCTCACAGTTCTCTGTAGATGGGGACACATCTCCCTACAGATATGCAGAGAGAGAAACACTCATGCCACTGCGAGAGACTTGCTTCTCACAGGAGAAATTTAGGAAGGTGTCAGAATGAGACCAGAGGTAAAAATCTCCTCAAGATGTCTCTAATGACATAAGTACTTCAGAGGCTTTGCCCCAGGAAGCCATGTTCTCCTTGAGATAAATCAGCTTAAGGCCGCGGAGGAAAATCGTCCTTATTTATTTCAATACAGCAATGCGGTTGCTTAAGTCGTACCACTGGGGACACCTTCGTTTGCCTGCTCTCTCAGTTGCGATTCTACTTAAGGGCAGAACGTTTCCTGGTGCTCTCGAGGCATGCCTGCCTTTCCTGAGACAGTCGGAAGGTACGAGACCGTGGAGTCACCGGGAAGTGGGCTGGGGTCTGGAAATCTAACTGGGGACCAAGACCGCCCATATCCCTCCGGCTTCCTGCAAACTTCTTGGCGCAAAAGATCGGTCCTCTTGATTGGCCAGCGCCAGAGGCCTGCCTTCCATCAGGCCTCGAGGCTGATATTTGACAGACAGGGATGTCTAGTTTTCTCGGATGCTTATTTTTTCCTTAGTATTCTTAGTGGTCCCTTTCTTCAAGGTACGAGGAAAGAACATTCAGGAATGAATTTCAGAGCAGTCAGACCAGGCATGCACACACAAGTGTTACGACTGAAGCCAATCAACCAGGAGGTGGGGTTCTCACAGGGCTTCGGCGACACAGACTTACGTCGTTGAGGCTGATCCTGTTCACTGGCTTGAGAAGTGTGTGCTCCAGGTGGCCCAGGGCCTCTGCCCAAATCATCTCTACGAAATCGCTCACCTCTGGGCTCAGAGTGCTTGAATTCATGACTTCTTCCAAAAGCCACTGCAACAATAAAACAGAATCGCCACCAACAAGTCAACGTGTGAAGGCCAACGAACGGAGGTGTGAGGAGAAATGACTGATCCCAGCCCAAGAGAGTCATCGGCAGCCAGGTAACTGCGGGATCCTCTCTCTGTCTGCCTCCATTCTCTCTTCTCTGATTCCCTTCTACCTCCTTTTCTTCCTGTTCTCTTTTTTCCTTCACCCTGTAAGCTCTAGGTCTGTCTGTGGCATTTAACATGTGCAATCGGGGTTAAGGACCCTCGACTGATGGCCTAGGTTGTAAAGAGATCTCTCACAAGCTCTCAGACTGCTGCTGAAAGAAGCGATACATTTCACGGCTCATCCTACCATGTATTCCCCACTCCGTTGCCAGGCCTTTCTCTGAGGTCACGTTTCCTTTTCTGAACTCCTCCTCTTCCCTCCTGACATCGATTTATTTATCTGAGACGGGGTCTTTCTGTATCGCCCAGGTTGGGGTACAGAGGCAGTGATCATAGCTCACTGTAACCTCCAACTGCTGGATTCCAGTGATCCTCCTGCCTCGGCCTCGTGAGTGGCTAGGACTACAGGCACACCACCATTGGCAACACAGAGAGACCCATTTCTACAGAAACTAAAAAACCAAGAAACGGGTCCCTCTGTGTTGCCAAGGCTGGTCTCGAACTCCTGGCCTCAAGTGATCCTCCCACCTTGGCCTCTCAAAGTGCTGGGATACCGGCGTGAGCCACCGAGCCCGGCCCGGTTTTTTTCTTTGTAATAGAGAAAACATTTCTATTAAAAATATTCAATCAATAACAACAAAAAAGTAGAAATCAATCTTACTGCTTGCAATGGTTCCGATGCTAATTGAGTTGCTTCAGGTGTGAAATGTTCTCTTAGTAGAAATCCTTGTTTCTTCAGTTCTTCGATGTAATTTTCATAGTATTCACTTGCATCTTCAGAGGTTTTCCTTCTAACAAACCGTCTTCTAGTCTGTGAATTATGGTATATAGGAAAAGTACAGTAATTATTTACATATCTAGCTTGATTGAACATAAAGCATTAGTTCCTTGACATGAAGAAGTTGAGAAATTAGTTTTTTTCAAATTATTACTTGAATTTTAAATTCTTTTTCTTTTCCTTTATTTATTTATTTTGAGACAGGGTCTTGCTCTGTCACCCAGACTGGAGTGCAGCGGCACGATCTTGGCTCACTGCAACCTCTGCCTCCCCGGTTCAGGCGATTCTCCCGCCTCAGCCTCCTCAGTACCTGGGACTACAGGCGTGTGCTACCCCGACTGGCTCATTTTTTTGTATTTTTTGGTAGAAACGGGGTTTCAACTATGTCGGCTTGAATAACTCCTGACCTCAAGCAGTCTGCCTGCCTTGGCCTCTCAAAGTGCTGGGATTACAGGCATAAGCCGCCGTGCTCGACCAGAATTACTAAAATTTTAAACTCTTTCTTTTTTTTTTTGAGACGTTGTCTCACTCTGCTGCCAGGCTGGAGTGCAATGGCACCATCCTGGCTCACGGTAACTCTGCCTCCCAGGTTGAAGCGGTTCTTCTGCCTCAGCCTCCTTAGTAGCTGGGACCACAGATGTGTACCACCACACCCAGCTACTGTTTGTATTTTTAGTAGAGACGGGGTTCCACCATGTGGGCCAGGATGGTCTCCATCTATCGACCTTGTGATCCACCGACCTCGGCCTCCCAAAGTGCTGGGATGATATGCGTGAGCCATCGATCTTACTAAAAAAGACTACAATGTGGAGGTAAAGGGGAAAAAGCTCCAGAAAGCACAGCAGACAGAAAAGATCATTTGTTTCACCGGAGAGTCACTCAAAGCTTCCTTCCAAGCCTACGGACTGTTTACAAATCATTCTAATTAGCTTTGAAATCTGGCTTTCCAGCTTTTTGGAAATGAGAAAAATAAATCAAGGGAGGGGAAGAAAAGAAAAATACTTCAGACAGGAACAACTGTGAGAGACAGGCACACGGCAAAAATGAAATCCCAGCGGAAAGCTCTTCGGTTGCCCATGTGTTGAAGAAAGGCCCCGGCTCCTCCCTCATCCCCAACTGTCGATGGAGGCAGCACCTTCTGCTCTTCTGGGAAACTCCTGCCCCTGTAGTGGGCGGTGATCCTCACATGAACCCCAGAGAATCTGGGAGAACTTGCCCCGACTCGGAGCCCTGGTGGTGTTGTAGGCGTCAGCCGAGCCCCCGGCTTGGGGGTGTGGCCCCCGGGAAGCCACTCTACTTAGGATCAGCTGCCCTCTCGGACAGGGGGGCTGCGGGATGCCTCTGAAACTTGGTCAAAAGAAGTGCCTGTTGAAGTCACTCCATTGAAGAAGGTCGAATTTCACATCATTTTGGAAGATTTCCAACGACATGGTTTTATGTGGCCGAAGGGCAAGCTGGAAAATCCTCTTCAGCAGAACAGCTGGCTGAGGCTCACTGCTCTCAAGGCTCCTCTGCTCAGCAAACCGGGCTCACCCAAGGGGCACTCTGTGCAGACTCAAGACTCAGGCTTGCTAAGGGAGGAAGGCACCCTGAGGGATGTCCTGGCCTCTACCGTGCTACAGTTTCCTCTCTCAATGCAGAAAACAATCACACATTCGGTCAGGTTTTTTCACTTCGTCGTTACTTACTCTTTGCCCGAACAACGAAATCCTCCACAAAGTACAGTATACATCGCGGGGTACAAAGTGAACAGAAACGCTTCTCCTTCTTGGACAATCTGACCATGGATTCGCTTTCTTGCTCTGTTTCCATGGAAATCTGATAAAGATGGCATGTCCGCCGTAACAGCAGGCAAAACTGCTGATGTCATTGTGGCCTCTCATTGATAGACTTGCATTGAGACTGAGGGTTCAGTGGTGGGAAAGCCAGGCTCTGGGCTTGCCTGAGAGCAGAGACTCATATAACTGGGTATGTCCCCCGAGGGCGTCGGGAACCCAAAACAATACGACAGGAGCGACGGGCTTCTGTGGGGGGGGGGCTTCCGAGTCAAGTGGATCTCACATCCAGCTGATGTGAGTTTCCTTCTCTTGTACCTGAGCTGACACCCGGAGTGGAAGCGGAGGGAAAAGCTCCCGGAGCCTGTGTGGACCTTTGTGAGGGCCACTCCCACTGGGAAGTGACTGCTCCCCGGCCCAAGACGGATCTGTAGGCTGGGCATGGCGGCTCATGCCTGTAGTCTCAGCACTTTGGGAGACCAAGGCAGGTGGATCACGAGGTCAGGAGTTCAAAACCAGCCTGGCAAACATGGTGAACACACAAAAATGGGCCGGGCGTGGTGGCACGTGCCTGTCATCTCAGCTACTCAGGAGGCGGAGGCAGCAGAATCGCTGGAACCCAGGAGGTGGAGGTGGCAGTGAGCCAAGATCGTGCCGCTGCACTCCAGCCTGGGCAAGAAAGGAAGACTGTGTCTCGGCCAGCCGGGGGCCCGGGGGAAGATCTGTAACTCTGAATGTCTACTCGATAAAGGATCCCGGTAGGTGTTGCGACATCGTATTTAAACTTCAGGTATTAATTCTGAATTTATTTTTGTCTCACGATTGTTTTAGACCGGAGCTGTGCTCTTGACCTGACACTGACCTAGGGCAAAGGTCACGGCCTCTGCAAAGCCTCCCTTGTTGTTCCCAGGGCTCTGTGACCTTGAGCCCGCAATACTTCATAGACATATTCAGAAGTGGAGCCGTCACTGTGGATTGCAATGATGAGTGTTAGCTCTTTCTAGACAGTGATTTCTGAGAGTCAAGATGTGAAGCTGTTCTGAAGCTCTGAGTGCCAGCCCTAGTAGATTGCTTGATACATAACAGATGCTTAATGAAGTGTTTCAGTGGGATGCTTTCAGAGGTGTAAACGTCAGGAAACTATCCTGTAGGGGATGTGGAACAAGAGCAGAACTGCTATACACCCTGCCCCCAGTGACCATTCCCTTCTAGTGCTGATCTACTCGGGGGTGAGGTCCTCACCCCCCATACTCCCAAAGGGAACACATTTCCCCTTTGCAAAATGATTCGCCAGGTGTTACGGCTGAACCGAACCCCTACCAAGTGCATCTGCTGAAGTCCTAAGTCCCAGGACCTCAAACACGGGACTGTGTTTGGAGACAGAGCCTTTAAAGAGGTAATTGATTAACGAATGAGAGATCACAGGGGTAGGCCCCGATCCAACATGACTGCTATCCTCATGCGAAGAGATGAGGGCACAGATGCCCACAGGTGGAAGACCATGTGAGGGCACAGCAAGAAGACAGCCATCTAGAAGCCAAAGAGAGAGGCCTCACCTCAGAAGAAATAAACTCTGCCACCTTTTGACCTTGGACTTCCAGTCTCTAGCACCGTGAGAAATCAATGTCTGTTGTTTAAGCTCCCCGGCCCGTTGCGTGTATTAACGGCAGCCTGAGCCAGGACACCGGGTAAGAAGAAAAAAGTTGGCAGGATGGCTGGTTCACTGAAATGAGTTCTGAACAGAGGTCAGCAAACGCATAGGAATCGATCTAAACAGCCTTACCTGCATGCCGTCAGCCAGGAGGAAGTGTGAGGATATCAGGAAAGGACAGTCCCTGGCGTCCCGGGAACACTGCAGCTCCACCAGCACGGCTTCCCGGCCTCCCGCCATTCCCACCTGGAAAAGGGGATGTGCTTTCAGAAGCTGCACTCTCGAAACATCCAATGCCATTTGCCATTCGAAAATGTTGACTATAATGATAAAATAATATGTGTTCATTGAGAGATACAATTTAGAAAATACCGAAAGGTATCAAGAAGAAAATTAAAATCACCCGAAATCCTATGACAGCAACACAATCCCTATGAAGATTTTGGTGTGTTTCTCTCCCGTGTTTTCACCAGAGATAGATCTGTGTGTGTTTATACCGTACCATTTTTCGTGTTTTCTTTATCAAGGAGGAAAAAGTTATTTTCAAATGATGTCTTATTAACATATCTAAAAATACAAATGAAACATCACTTTGAAGGCTAGGGTCAACTTATATCTGTATAGATATTTTAGAGACAGAGGTCTTGCCGTGTCGCCCAGGATGGCCTCAAACTCCTGGGCTCAAGAGATCCACCTGTTGCCACCTCCCGAGTAGCTGGGAGCATAGGTGAGTGACGCCACACCAGACGCTAGTGTTGATTTTCATTTGCGTGACTTTGTAAAAAAAAAAAAAAAAAAAAATTTGTTTTTCTTTCTAATGCAAAAGGAATGGAAATGCAACATAGTATGCCTACTGAGTGTCAAACCTTCCCTTTCTAAATACAAGACACTGTTAATAACAGGGAAGAGACTGTTATTTTTAATGCCATATTGGTATTTTCTACTGTTTACGATGTTTGCTATGAGCATGCATTACTTTTATAATATAAATACTAAAAATGTAGATATTAAGTTCTAAACATAAGCATTTTCTTGGCCGGTAAGAACTGGCTCCGGGCGCAGCGGCTCCTGCCTGTGACCCGAGCACTGTGAGAGGCTGAGGCGGGAGGACGGCTTGAGCCTGGGGATTCCAGAGCAGCAACACAGCGAGACTCGGTCTCCCCCGAAATAGAGAAACAAATACGGAAATCAGTTCCTATTTTAAGAAATACGACATGTAAGAGATGCACAATTGTTCAAAACAATGACCTTCAAACAGGCTTTGTGTTGTTTTTTTCTTTGTTTCTAACTAGAAATCAGATTCTTACTTTCTCCAAGGTGTTATATTTTGCGACGTCGAAATCTTGAGGAAGACGGGAAATGTCAACCTTCTCTGCCGAAAACCTGAAATGTGTAAGGTGTGTAATTAACATTTTAACGTTACAATGGATTGTAGGCTCAATAGAATTTCATAGCTTGTTTCTTGTAGATCCTTATAAAATAGATGATAGATTTCTTACAACATACACGGTAAGTCCCTAAGGCCTCCTGAGGGAGAAACTGTGAAAAGATCATTGGAAATGAGCTGGATGCCTCCTCTGCATCCTTCTCCAGCTCAGATGCCCAGGGCCGTAGCTTCTGCACTGGAAGATGGTGTCCGTGCGGCACAGGCAGAGGCAGAGAGAAGTGGGCCACACTCTGGGGACGGGCTACTTGTGTTCGCTTTGGGTCTGACTCTCAGGAGCTATGTCACTCCTCTGCGGACCACGGTCCATCATCTCTAAAATAAAGGAGTCAGACTTCTCGTAATCTGTGGTTTTCATTTTGGATTCTCTTCTCTGTAAACATGATTAGTAACAAATAGAACAAGACTGAATGTGATGTCTAATTAACCCGATGTTTTGGGGATGCTTTAAGCAGCCATCGAGAACTTTAGACTTACACACTCCATTTGAGGAAGGCTGTTGTTATTTCCATTTTTGAAACTATCAGGCAAAAGTAACAAACTCTAAAGATTGATCAGAAAAGTAATAGGATGAGAGGCTACCCAAATCTCATCATCACTGTCTTTTCTTTTTAAAAATCAATTAATTTAATCATTGCATCCAATCTCACATAAGACTGAGAAGATAAAAATAATGATCACTAGGCCGGGCGTGGTGGCTCACACCTGTAATCCAGGCACTTTGGAGGCCAAGGCGGGCGGATCACCTGAGGTCGGGAGTTCAAGGCCAGCCTGACCAACACGGTGAAACCCCGTCTTAAAAAAAAAAAAAAAAAAAGAAAAGGAAAAAAAAAATAATGCTCATTATACTAGTTGAAGTAAAAAGTCTCAAAAAAATCAGTAAAGAGTTAGATACTCAAATTAAAATACAACAAAGTCTACAAATAGAATTTTAATACTGTGCTTGAGGTTTACACAAGATTTTGCAAACTCTGTGGAGTCCTAGGAATCAGAAAGAGGGAAATTACTCATCGAGTTCCACGGTGTCTTCCTCCTCTGCGGCGCGGTCCAGGCGTACGTCGTCGGTTTTTGCTTCTAGAAATAAAGCAAACAGCACACTTGTTGACTGCTCAGAGGCTCATCATTCGTTAACCTAAGTGCTGGAATTGTTGATTCATAAATATATCCTGAAATGAAGTATAGTTTTGGTGATCCAAGGACGACCCAGTGGGAAAGGAGAAGGGTGTGACACTGTGAGAGGAAGGCACAGCGTTGTAAGATAGAACAGACTCGAATTCCGTTTTCATAGGCATGTCAGGAGAATCCTCCTCTGAGATCATTTGAAACTCATTGATAGCCAGACAGTTTGCAATTGGCACTTTCCTCTTGAAGTGCACAGGATCAGAATGAGTTCCTGAGAGCCGGCACCTCACGAGTGAAGGAGCTGGAGACGTTCTAACTTAGAGGAGGGAAACTCCAGGGCTCTACACGAGCTTTTCTTCATCTTTTTCATTCAGGGAAACAGTGACACTATCTATAGTATTGTGATACCTAGGAACAACTCTTCATTCAAGGACTTCTGTCCGGTTTTAATTACTGTCGAGATTCCAAAGACCATCGGGATATCTGTAGTGATTTGGAATCGGAATAAATTATGCTGGCTGTCATACAATATGTTTTCAATGTGAAAAGAGTCTACCGTTTTGCCTATTTCTGTGATGACTATCATTTGCTGGGACATTGAGAAAGTCTGATGACTGCAGCAGCATTTCTGGACGATCGTCTAAGGAGGCTCCGCCCTGCCCAGTCATTCCATATCTGACACATACCATGTGCTTACTGTAAGCTGATATTTATCAGAACTGTTTGATTTTTGATGCGACTCAGGAAGAGTGCATTTCTTTTGTTTTGTTTTAATTGCATTTTATGTTTTGGGGTACATGTGAGGAACACGCAGGGAGAGGAGCATTTCCTATGTGGAAAGCCTTTCTTCTTGGACAGATTCCAAAATAAAATCTTGGTTGGTAAAGAAAATATGTTTCTTTTGGGGAGACAATCTTTTGTTTGGAAAGAATTTCTTTTTTTTTTTGAGACGGAGTTTTCGCTCTTGTTACCCAGGCTGGAGTGCAATGGCGCGATCTCGGCTCACCGCAACCTCCGCCTCCTGGGCTCAGGCAATTCTCCCGCCTCGGCCTCCCGAGTAGCTGGGATGACAGGCACGCGCCACCACGCCCAGCTAGTTTTTTTTTTTTTGTATTTTTAGTAGAGACGGGGTTTCACCACGTTGACCAGGATGGTCTCGATCTCTCGACCTCGTGATCCACCCGCCTCGGCCTCCCAAGGTGCTGGGATGACAGGCTTGAGCCACCGCGCCCGGCTGGAAAGAATCTCTGAAGCAAAACGCTGGTCGTCCACATTTCCGGTCCCGAGGGTGTAGTGATCACGGCTGGACACAAAGTCGTTTCCTTCCTCCTCCTTAGAATCGCGATCAGGTTTTCTGAGACGATCCATGTTTTGTGGCCAGTTTGAATCGGATGCTACTAGGCTGGATACCAAGAAATCTATTGTCTATTGCTAAAGTGGTCTTTTGTCCTCTAGTTTTCTGTCCATGTTCTCAAGTCCTAAGTCTCATGGTTTTTGCGTATTTCTGGACAATTATCTGTCTATCGTATCTTTGACAAACCCAAGTGTGTACTATAGCACCTATGATACGGCAAGAGCTTGCTACGAAATACCTACCAGGACCGCTCGTCTTCTGATCAGGAGGCGCTGTGACATCCAGGGGCTTATCAGGATCGTAATTCTTTACATCCAGGAGTCTCTTTTCTCTGATAGATTCCCATATAAAATCTGGGTTTGCAATATGAACGTGGTTCTTTTGGATAGAATTCAGTCGGTACGGACTCAGAACATCAGCATTGTCTAAGATTACATGTGTGCACTAAGAAAGAAAGAGTCAGTACATTACACATCAGTAAAAACATCGAAAGTTATCTGTGTCTGTAATTTTCACTCTTAAAAAGCCTTGTTTTAAGGTAGTGTGCGATAATTTCTCTCAAACTTCTAAAAACCTCTATAAGTCACACGGTTTCTAGTAACATAAACATTTAAAAAAATCAACAGAGTCTAGATATGAATGTATCATAAGTAATTAACCCTAGAGGTTAGTTCTAAATTTTCACTATTGTAAACAATGCTGTGATAATTATCCTCACGTACGCATCTTTGTGCACTTGTTCAATTATTTTCTTGGTAGTAGAAAGGGGGGTTCAAAGGTTATTCATGTATTTTGTAATTTTTAAAAAATCTTGTTTTTTTTTTGGTAGAGATAGGGTCTCGCTATGTTGATCAGGCCGGTCTTGAACTCCTGGCCTCAAGTGATTCTCCCACCTCAGCCTCCCCAAAGTACTGGGTTTACACCCATGAGCCACCATGTCCAGCTTATCATTTTATTTAGTTTTTAATAAATAGTAAATTCACACCGTAAAATATAGAGAAAAAAAAATAATAACGTTAATTTCTTTTTTTTTTTTTTGAGACGGAGTTTCGCTCTTGTTACCCAGGCTGGAGTGCAATGGCGCGATCTCTGCTCACCGCACCCTCCGCCTCCCGAGTTCAGGCAATTCTCCTGCCTCAGCCTCCTGAGTAGCTGGGACCACAGGCACGTGCCACCATGCCCAGCTCATTTTTTGTATTTTTAGGAGAGATGGGGTTTCGCCAGGTTGACCGGGATGGTCTCGATCTCTGGACCTCACGATCCACCCGCTTCGGCCTCCCAAAGTGCTGGGATGACAGGCTTGAGCCACCGCGCCCGGCCGACATGTGAATTTCTTCCCCACTGGTATCCCCAGCTCCTCTCCCCAGAGGCACCCGCTGGCACTTGCTCCTCACGTATCCTGCTTGAGCGACACTATGCGTAGACACGTGGCACCGTGCTACTCGGTCTCTTCTGTGCTGCCCTTTCCACTGAATTTATCTTGGCGATCGTTCCTCGTCATGACATCTAGAGCTGCCTCCTTCTTCACAGGAGCTGGCATGCGCATTTCAAATGTTTCTGTACATCTTCCGCAAGGTTGCACTCACAGTCTGTGAGTTTCTAAAAAGGAGAAACCGTTCTCCACACAGAAGACAAACTGAGAAGGGGAGCGGGTACAGTTTACTCATCTGTCCAGAGAGACGGTGAGACAGCTCAGTATGGGAAGCCGTGTAGGGGAAGAATATACAATTCTACGTGAATTGGAAGGAAACGGGGACATTGCATTTCTAGTATTCAGCTGGAGTTGAACCCACTGCACAGAACAGATGAGGCTCATTACGGCCAAGCCCCAGGGCCGAAGTTCAGAGACGGTGCAGGCCGGCCTGGCGCCTAGTCTTTGGATTTCTATTTTTAGTTCTTTCAAAGAGGCGGTTAAAAAAAAAAAAACAAGAGATTAGACTGAATGATTTCCGAGATTTCATCCAGGTATAAAATCCTATTATCTGAACTGCCAGCCCTACAAGTGCAAGGGATGGAAGGTAGCTTCCTGCAGCCTTTCAATGAACAAAGACAGCACAAGCTATGCTGCAAAGACGAGCCTCACTGCACGTCTCTGCCCCCAGGAACCTGGCTTACCCGTCTATCGCTCCAGCGTTGACATGCTGGTGAGTGACAGTGTGCTTTTTGCAAATCCTGTGCGCTATGACTTTCCCCTTCAAGGACAGATTTGGCTGGGTTGAAATTCTATGTTTCTATTTGGCTGTGCTCTAGTCATATCCTGCTTCCTAGGACATGTGGGACTGTCCTGCAGAGTTCAGGGAACAGAGAGAGGACAGGGCTGGCCTGGGCCTCCTTCCTCTGCCTCTTGGGGCCCAGCCTCCCAATGGGCCATGTCACAGTCTCTCCTGATGAACTTGGAGTCGCTCACTCACTGCCTCCTGCTGCTAATCTTCGCTTCCTCTACTAACCGTGCCCCCTTTTCCCTGAATGCACCATGTTTTATCACACTGTCGTTGACGAGATTTGGAAATACCTGAGGACTGAAGGAAAAGGAAAACTTTCCGCCGTTTTCCTTAATGTCAGCTTGTAGCTTTTTCTTCTGCCGCCGAGGTAAGTACTTCACTTTCAAACAGAAGACACAATTGGCAAAGATTCCCATCATCATCCTGTCGGAAAAAAAGGTTTTAAGGACTCTTAGGTAAACATAATTGACAGTGAATGTAGAATTATTACATATGCAAACCATGGGAAAATCTTATCTTAAGAAAGATAGTGTCATCATGTTATAAATGGAACATCACGAAGTATAACATCCTAGCTTGCAACATGTGTGTTGGTTTAAGAATCATTTCTAGCTTTTATGGCTGATATTACAACGCCAAAAACCCCTTTGTATAGGCTCTTTATCATATACATCTTAATAAAAACATGACAGATTTCAGTTATACATCAAGCGTGTGACTCAAGAACATGGAAGCTTTTATTTCTAAACTCAAAATTAACATTATGTGATAGTGAAACCATATCTATCTATCTATATATATATATAATTCTATGCATTCCAAAAGACTTATCATGTGGGTTTCTGTGAAGACATTCTGGGGGAAAACGGAACAACTGGAAATAAAAATATACAACTGCATTTAAATGGATTATGTATGTGTGTGGATACACATATCTATTCTGCAGTTGGGTTAATGTAATTCTTTTTTTTTTTGGAGATGGAATCTCACTTTGTCATCCAGGCTGGAGTGGAGAGGCACAGTCTCGACTCACTGCAACCTCCGCCTCCCTGGTTTCAGTGATTCTCCTGCCTCAGCTTCCCCACCTCAGCCTCCCAAGTAGCTGGGACTACAGGCATGCACCACCACGTGTGGCTAATTTTTGTAGTTTTAGTAGAGACAAGGTTTCACCATGTTGGCCAGGCTGCGCTCAAACTTCTGACCTCAAGGAATCCGCCTGCCTCAGCCTCCCAAAATGCTGGGATTCCAGGTGTGAGCCACTGCACCCAGTTTGTGTTCATTTAATTCTTTTCCCGTACCGTACATTCTCACATACAGAAATGAATTACTTTTAAGAAAAATTAGCATATTTTGCTCTGAAATATGTATTTAACAATAAACTAATACATGGCGAAATATTGGGTTTAATTTCCGGTAACTATTTTTCAATTTTTTTTTTTTTTTTTTTTTGAGACAGAGTCGCTCTGTTGCCCAGGCCGGAATGCACTGGTATGATTTCAGCTCACTGCAATCTCCATTTCCTGGATTCAAGCGATTCTCCTACCTCAGCCTCCCAAGTAGCTGAGATTACAGGCGCCCATCACAATGCCTGGCTCATTTTTGTATTTTTAGCAGAGTCAGAGTTTTGCCATGTTGGCCAGGCTGGTCTCGAACTCCAGATCTCAAGTGATCCGCCTGCCCCGGCCTCTCAAAATGCTGAGATGGCAGGTGCAGGCGTGAGCTACTGGGCCAGCCTCCCCCTACTTTTTTTTTTTTTTTTTTGAGGCGGAGTTTCGCTCTTGTTACGCAGGCTGGAGTGCAATGGCGCGATCTCGGCTCACCGCAACCTCCGCCTCCTGGGTTCAGGCAATTCTCCTGCCTCAGCCTCCTGAGTAGCTGGGATTACAGGCACGCGCCACCATGCCCAGCTAATTTTTTGTATTTTTAGTAGAGACGGGGTTTCACCTTGTTGACCAGGATGGTCTCGATCTCTCGACCTCGTGATCCACCCGCCTCGGCCTCCCAAAGTGCTGGGATGACAGGCTTGAGCCACCGCGCCCGGCCTTTTTTTTTCTTTTGAGACAGGGTCTCACTCTGTCTCCCAGGCTGGAGTGCTGTGGCAGATCTGGGCTCACAGCTGCCTTCTGGGTGTTAGGTTTCAAAGGGAAGGCAAGGGTTAAAGAAAGACATATATACACACAGCACACACACACACACACACACACACACACACACACACACAGAGCACGAGAGAAGGGAGCGCTTGATGGCAAATGCAGGCTTTCTGTCCATCATTTGCTGGTTTCATGCTGGACAGTTGCTGTCCAGCTCGCTCGCTCGCTCTCTCTCTCTCTCTCTCTCTCTCTCTCTCTCTCGTGTGTTTGTGTGTGTGTGTGTGTGTGTGTGTGTGTGTGTGTGTGTGTGTCTTTCTTTAACCCTTGCCTTCCCTTGGAAACCTAACACCCGGAAGACAGAGGTTGCAGTGAGGGGAGATCTGATACCTCACTCCAGCCTGGGCAACAGAGTGAGACCCTGTCTCAAAGAAAAAAAAAAAGAAAGGCCAGGCGCGGTGGCTCATGCCTGTAATCCTAGCACTTTGGGAGGCTGAGGTGGGTGGATCCAGGAGGCCAGGAGATGGAGACCATTCTGGCCAACATGGTGAAACCCTGTCTCTACTAAAAATACAAACCTGAGCCAAGTGCAGTGGCGGGAGCCTATAATCCCAGCTACTTGGGAGGCTGAGGCAGGAGTATCGCTTGAACCCAGGCCAAGCCACCGCACCCAGCCTTTCTTCTTCTTCTTTCTTTTTCCTTTGAGACAGGGTCTCACTCTGTTGTCCAGGCTGGAGTGAGGTGTCAGATCTCCCCTCGCTGCAACCTCTGCCTTCCGGGTGTTAGGTTTCCAAGGAAAGGCAAGAGTTAAAGGCGCGCGCGGGCGCGCGCACGCACACACGCACCCAAGCAGAGGCTGCAGTGAGCTGAGCTCACGCCATTGCACTCCAGCCTGGCCACAGAGCAAGACTCTGTCTCAGAAAACAAAACAGGCCAGGCGCGGTGACTCACGCCTGTAATCCCAGCACTTTGGGAGGCAGACGCAGGCAGATCACAAGGTCAGGAGATCAAGACCACCCTGGCCAACAGGGTGAAACCCCGTCTCTACTAAAAATACAAAAATTAGCCAGGTGTAATGGTAGGCGCCTGTAGTCCCAGCTACTCAGGAGGCTGAGGAAGGGCAATTGCTTGAACGCGGGAGGTGGAGGTTGCAGTGAGCCGAGATCACTCAATTGCACTCCAGGCTGGGCTACAAAGCTAGACCGTGTCTCCAAAAAAAAAAAAAAAAAAAAAAAAAGCAGCAAGGAGTCACGTCCAACAGGCTCCCTGCCAAGTAAGCTGCTGTTTGGCTGCACCGGTTCCAAGTCCTGTGTTAGTCTGGGGATCGCGGTTCCACGTGCTGAGTAAGTCTGGCGATAGCGGTTCCGGGCCCGTGTCAGTTTGGGCTCGCAGCTCTGGGTCCTGTGCGAGTTAGGGGATCGCATTCCAAGTCCAGTGTTAGTTTGGAGAGCGCGCAGTTCTGGGTTCTGTGTTAGTTTGCGGATCGCGGTTCTGGGTCCCCTGTAAGTTTTGGGATCGCGTTCGGGTCCCGTGTGAGTTTTGGGATCGCGTTCGGGTCCCGTGTTAGTTTTGGGATCGCGTTCGGGTCCCGTGTTAGTTTTGGGATCGCGTTCTGGGTCCCGTGTTAGTTTTGGGATCGCGTTCTGGGTCCCGTGTAAGTTTTGGGATCGCGTTCGGGTCCCGTGTAAGTTTTGGGATCGCGTTCGGGTCCCGTGTTAGTTTTGGGATCGCGTTCGGGTCCCGTGTTAGCTTTGGGATCGCGTTCTGGGTCCCGTGTTAGTTTTGGGATCGCGTTCGGGTCCCGTGTTAGTTTGGGGATCGCGTTCGGGTCCCGTGTTAGTTTGGGGATCGCGTTCGGGTCCCGTGTTAGCTTTGGGATCGCGTTCTGGGTCCCGTGTTAGTTTCGGGATCGCCTTCGGGTCCCGTGTTAGTTTCGGGATCGCGTTCGGGTCCTGTGTTAGTTTCGGGATGGCGTTCGGGTCCCGTGTTAGTTTCGGGATGGCGTTCGGGTCCCGTGTTAGTTTGGGCATCGCGTTCGGGTCCCGTGTAAGTTTTGGGATCGCGTTCTGGGTCCTGTGTCAGTTTTGGGATCGCGTTCGGGTCCCGTGTAAGTTTTGGGATCGCGTTCCGGGTCCTGTGTCAGTTTGGGCAGGCTGGTCGGGCTCTCTGCGGTGGGCCCCGCGTGTCCGGGGACTAAGCGGAGTCGCCGAAAGCCCGCCGCTCCGCACCGCCACTGCGCTCCGCGTTTCTCCTTTGCTCTCCCTGCCCCTGGACTTCCCACTCCTACAGGCCGGAGGCCCTGCCCGACCTAGTGCCTTTGCTCTCTGTGTGTCGGATGGTGGTACCCATTCCCTGGGCTTCCAATGGAGGACACAATGCCACTGCCTCCCGGACACCTCACCTCTGGGTCTCCTTGGCACCACAGAGGCGCCAGCTCCTCAGCCTAGACCTCTTCACCCCTCTCGGCTGGAGGCAACCACTGGGTGCTATTCTTGACTCGCTGCACCCCACCCCCTTCTGCCAGCTGTATCTCTTCCGTCACAGCCCCCAGTACAGCCCCCATCCATAGAAACTGCTGCCAGCCTGGCCCATGCCCTCTCCTCCTCACTGGCTCCCACTCCTGTTGCACCCGTGTTCAATCTCTTCTCCACACTCTACCTGGAGGAATCTTGATTTTTTTAAAAATCACATTTCGAAGAAAATACAAATTGCTTATCATGGTTCAAGGCCAGTGGCTGTCCCATTCCCTCCTGGCCACGCTGGCCTTTTCTTCAGGAGGAAGAAACTCACAGCTTGGTCCTCTAAGTCTTGACACATGCTGTTACATATTACAGTCCCTCTCTCTCTGGGAGCCCAGCCCTTCCTCACCCCATGCTGTATCCCCCATCCAGGACACAATGAAGGAACACATTAGGGATTCATATTTTTTAATCTTTCATTTGAGGTTGGGTTAAACTGAAGTCTCTGGATGCAATTCTGCCTTTTCCATAACGTTATGTACAAGTTTCATTTGTTCACTGCCTCTTGCATTCACTAAGTAGCATCTGTGCGTAGATAGGAGGGTGAAATGAAAAACATTTTTAATAGAGGCTATCAGATAAGGATCGTACATGATTTATTGTTGGAAAATGAAATCATTTTGAAGTTTTGGTATCATAAAAAGCTACGATAAACATCCTTACAGCACAAGTCCTTGTTTGCATCTCCTACAACCCTCTTAGAAAATAATACTTGAGTGGTACTACCGAATCAAAGTTGGAACGATTTTTTTCGTGTGAAAAGTTAATCACTATGAAGAAAAAAGAAAAAGCACCTAAAATGATGGAAATGTTCAAAAGTAGACTGCAATGATGGTGCACAATGTGGCCAATCGTTAAAAATTTTGAACTGGGCCAGACAATGTGGCTCATGCCTGTAACCCTAGCTCTTTGGGAGACCAAGCAGAGTGGGTCACTTGAACCCAGGAGTTTTGAGACTAGCCTGGCCAACACGGTGAAACCCTATCTCTACCAAAAATACCAAAATTAGTTGGGTGTGGTGGCACACACCAGTGGTCCCTGCTACTCGGGAGATATGTGGGAGGATCACTTGAGCCTGGGAGGTGCAGGCTACAGTGAGCTGTGATCATGCCACTGTACTCCGGCCTGGGCGATAGAGACCCTATCTCAAAAGAAAAACAATTATTGAATTGTACAATTAAAATCAGTGAATTTAATGGTATGTAAATGGCACCCCAATACATTTTTTAAATAGCATTTTTTGGATACATAATAGTTGTACGTATTATGGTCAATAAAGTTGTTTTTAAAAAACACCCGACTGTTGATGTTTGTTTGTTTTTTGGAGCCAGTCTTGCTCTGTGACCCAGGCCGGAGTGCAGTGGCAGGATCTTAGCTCCCCACAACCTTCTGCCTCCCAGGTTCAAGTAATCTCCTGCCTCAGCCTCTGAGTAGCTGAGACTACAGGCACAAACCACCGCGCCCAGCGAAGTTTTGTACTTGTAGTAGAGACGGGGTTTCACCATGTTGGCCAGGATGGTCTCCAACTTCTGAGTTCAAGTTATCCACCCACCTTTGCCTCCCAAAGTGCTGGGAGTACAGGTGTGAGCTGCCGCACCCAGCCCCCACTGTTGATATTTTAAGAATTTTTTTCTGGTATTATTCTTTCTTGTATCATTCTATTTTCTAAATTATTAATATTCTGGATTTAATGCTATAGAGAGTTGCTCTTATTTCACTTTTTTTTTAAAAAAAGGACTTTCATCTTCGCAGCTTATTTAGCTTTTAATGATGTGCTTCCCATGCCACTCAATATGTTTTGAAGGTATTCTTAGCGGTTACAGAAGCTTTGCATCGATTTCAGCCTTCCCCAAGTCATCAGATATTTCATGATTTAAAAGTGTTCACTATTAGAAAGACACTTGGAATAGAATGTTTGTACATCTATTTTTTGGCCAAATCTCTGTGGTTGTTTTCTTAAAGTAGATGGCCAGAAGTGGAATTACTGAATCAAGGAGTAGAAACATTTTTTTAGCCTTTAAAAAAATGGTGGTCAAATGTGCAGAAGGTAAAATTTACCATCTTAACCATCTTAGTTGTGAAATCAAAGCATACTCATTTTATTGTATTCGAGACTTGGTCTGGCTCTGTCTCCCAGGCTGGAGTACAGTGGTGCGGTCGGTCACTGTCCCAGCTCACGGCAACCTCGACCTCTCTCCCGGCGATCCTCTCACCTCAGCCTCCTTAGTAGCTGGGACCACAGGCCTGCACCACCATGCCCAGCGAATTTTTGTACAGACAGGGTCTACTATGTTGCCCAGGCTGGTCACAAAGTCCTGGGCTCCAGCGATCCTCCTGCCTCAGCCGCCCGGAGTGCTAGGGTTCCAGGTGTGAGCTGCGGTGCCTGGGCCGGAGTACAAACACTGTAAACGTCAATCTCCCGGCTGTTCTTAGCACCTGCGGCTCCGTGGGAGGTACGGAAAGGCACTCTTTGGCTTTTGTGAAATCTCCAGTCACGCCTTGACTTCTCTCTTTCTGTAGAGTCGTCTCGACGCTCTCTAAAATGCTGGGTTAACAGCTTCCTAGCCGACACGTGCCACCAGTTCCTCCTGGTTTCAAAAGCGTTCTCTAAATACCGTTAGTTCACATTTTCATCAGCGCCAATTACCAACACATGAGCCGTGGCAGACACCGGGCTAGGGGCTGGTTATCCTCTAAGGCAGGCGTCCCCAAACTCTGGCCCGCGGGCCGCATGCGGCCCCCTGAGGCCATGTATCCGCCCGCCCCCCCCCCCCACCGCACTTCAGGAAGGGGCACCTCTTTCATTGGTGGTCAGTGAGAGGAGCACAGTATGTGGCGGCCCTCCCACGGTCTGAGGGACAGTGAACTGGCCCCCTGTGTAAAAAGTCTGGGGACGCCTGATCTAAGGCAAATCTGTACGGTCACTCCAGCTTGTGCCCCTTCCCAGCTTCTTCCCAAAACAACATTCACGGAGGGTCTTCCATCCAAAGACGGCAGGGCCCAGCCCCAGTTCCTAAGACACCCTCAGCACGCCTCCTCACAAACTCCTGGCTGCTCTATCTAGAAAACCATTGGCTAGGTGGAATCAGGTGGCCTCCCGCTTCACAGGTCTTTGTCTGCCCCACTAGCATTTCCTCCTCTCGGACAACCCCGAGGAGTCCCTTTCTGGGCAGTCTTGATTCTAGAGCCTCCGCCTTCCGAAATGAGTCACCGCAGACTAAGATCACTTTTGATATACAGGGAGCATTCAGTCAAAGCTTGCTTACTAAGAACGATTTCACTCATGAATTTTCAAGTCCCGATTCCAGAAAGCCTTCTGACGCTATCTGCGTTTTGGACTCAAATGGCATCAGTAACGCACCTTCCTGATGGGATTATGAAACCCCCAAACAACAAAAGTACTCCTTTGATTCCAGTCCTACATGGCATTAAGCAGCTCTACGCACACAGGCAGGACCTAATAAGTGTTTATGTAATAAATGATCGAATCAAATGACGCATATACTGAGAGCGAGTTTCCACTTTATCATCACACTGTGCCTGGATATTGTCATATAATTATTGTCATTCCGGCAGTCCAGAATCGAAAGCGCTTGGGCTTGAATATTTCGCAGTGCCTTGGTTTTCTCGACGCCGAGATCTATCAACTCAGTCCCTGGGTGAATCATTCGGCCCTCCCCTCAGGAATTATTTAAGTCAGAGGTTTTCAACTTTGTTTCTATCACTGGGTTCCCGGTGACTCACAAGGTCAGATAATCCCGATTATTCACCAAACCACCCTCTTGATTTAGGAGAGAAAGCCGTTCGGCCTTCTGAAAACAAGGAACACCGATTTCTACTGCTCATCGCTCATTTTCTCGAACACGGCAAGGGGTCCGGAGACGCAGGGTGTGAGTGCCCGCTCCGGTGGGCGCCCCCCCCACCCCACCCAGTTTCTCGTCACCCGGGTGCACCGCCGGGCAGAGCGGAACCACCGCGACATCCGTCCCCGAAGGCGCGGGCTGCACCACCGCGCCCACCCCGCGCCCCACGGCCGGGTCAGGCCTACAGCGCCGACGCCGCGCACGGCGGGGGCGCAGCCGCGGGCGGAGAAGGCGCCGCGCAGGGCGCGCGGGCCGCTTCCTGGCCAGGACTCCAGGGACCCTTGGCGGCCCCCCACCCCCCACCCCCACCCCCACCCCCACCCCGCGGGGCCCACGCACCTGCCAGAGGATCCGGCCGGCTCCCCGCGCTGGGCGATTGGGCGCTGCTGGCTCTCGCTGCTTCCGGCTTCCAGGCTCTCCCTGACCCGGGCGCTGGGCGGGGGCCGCTGCGGCCGGAACCCCGCCCCGCACCCGGCGGGCGCAGCGTCCCTAGCGGGGACGGTCGCCGGCAGGCGCCTGAAATCCGGTCCGCCAGGTGGGGAGGGGCACCCGACCTCGGGCGGGGGTTTCTCTTCCAAGATCAGCCCGAGGGTTCAGGAGTTGGTTTCAGTTTCCTATTTCAGGAGGGATTTGGCCCGTGAGGATAAATCCAAAAGCTCGCCTTGGATTTATCTGGGAGAGGTGGGTGGATGGTCCTGTCCTTTAACTGAGAAATGGAAGGGATTCCTAACGACGGGACAGAAGAAAATGTCGGGAAAATTCGGGGAAACAGGAGAGTAAGATACATGTACTTGAAGCGTGCCTGAGTTTGAAATTCGTGATAGCGTTTGTAAGTAGGTGGAAATCTATTCATCTGCCATTCAAGAGAGGCGGGAGCTGGAGGTACAGATCTGAGATTCACTGAAATGGGAGTAAAGCCATGGGGAAGATTCAGATTTTTAGGATACTGAATAAAATGAGACTAGAAAGGATAGAGTAGAGAATCGGCGTTGAATCCTGACTCCACAATTTATTACCAAGGCGATTGTGGATAAGGTAATTTACCCAGTGTCATCATTGCAACCCACGCTATAGGGCTGTTTAAGAAATAACAAGAGATTCTGGGGAGGAGAGAAACTGATTCCCAGAGTTACCACATTATCATGCTCAAAATGTCAAATCTTCCACCAAAAATTATGAGGCATGCAAAAAAAAAAAAAAAAAAAAAAAAAAGGTCAATTCAGAGGAAAAAAAGAAATGAACAGAAACTGTCCCTGAGCTGAGGAAGCCCAGACATAGGAATTATTAGACAGAAACTTTATATAAACTGTCTTAAGCATGGACAGAAAGTGAAAGGAAATATAGAAAAAGAACTGAAAGAGAACCAGGAGAACAATGTCTCAACAAATAGAGAATACGCAATAGAAGATACACAAAAGGTCAACAAACATGAAAACAGCTCAGCATCACTAATCATCGGAGAAGTGCAAATCAAAACTACAGAGAGATACCAACTTGCACCAGTCAGAACAGTTATTATTAAAAAGTCAAGAAACAGCAGATGCTGGCAAGGCTGCGTTGAAAAGGAAATGCTTATACACCGTCAGCGAGGATGTAAGTTAGTTCAACCACTGTGGAAAGCAGTTTGGAGATTTCTCAAGGAGCTGAAAACAGAATTGCTCTTTGACCCAGGAATCCCGTGGGCGCACATCCAAAAGAAAAGAACTCGTTCTACCAAAAAGACACATGCACTAGTATGTTCGTCACAGCACTGTTCACAATAAAGACACGGAATCAGGGCTTTGGCTGGGCGTGGTGGCTCATGCCTGTAATCCCAGCACTTTGGGAGGCTGAGGCAGGGAGATCACGAGGTCGAGAGATCGAGACCATCCTGGTCAACATGGTGAAACCCCGTCTCTCCTAAAAATACAAAAAAGTAGCTGGGCATGGTGGCGCGTGCCTGTCATCCCAGCTACTCAGGAGGCTGAGGCAGGAGAATTGCCTGAACCCGGGAGGCGGAGGTTGCGGTGAGCCGAGATCGCGCCATTGCACTCCAGCCTGGGTGACAGGAACAAAACTCCGTTTCCAAAAAAAAAAAAAAGATGGGCTTTGAAGGCAGAGCCACGGAGGTTTGAACCTAAGCTCTGTTGTCTTATAGATTACTTGGCCACTGTGGGAAAGACATTTAACTGTTCTGGGCCTCCATTTCCACTTCCTTAAAGTGGGGATACAGAGCCACACAAGAATGAAAGATTATTACTTACATGTTTTTTTTTTCAGGCAGGGTCTTGCAATGCCACCCAGCCTAGAGTGCAGTGGCACAGTCATGGCTCACTGCAGCTTCAAACTCTCGGGCTCAAGCAATCCTCCTGCCTCAGCCTCCCAAGTAGCTGGGACTACAGTCACATGCCGCTATACCCAGATAATTTGAAAACTTTTTGTAGAGATGGGGTCTCGCTAAGTCGCCTAGGCTAGTCTCAAACTCCTGGCCTCGAGCCGTCCTCCCCAAAAGCCTCCCAAAGTCCTTGGATGGCAAGTACGAGCTATGGCACGCGGCCAGTCGCTGCTCACATGTAGTATGCGTAGACACTCTGACTCCGGGAGGAGCTGCTTAGTCTTCCTCATCTCCTCCCACCTCCCACAAAATGTGGGCTTGACTTAGTGGTTTGCGTCCAAAGAAGAAAGTGTGAGACGGAAAAAAACCCACGAATTTGAAAGAGGTGAAACCTGGCAAACACCACCCTAACCAAGTGATAAAGGTCAACATCACCGAGGAAGCCACGTGGCTACCATGCAACTTTGGATATGATGTAAGGAGGAAGGACGTTTCAGCTTTGCGGTATTCTTCCCCGAAACCCAAACTCCAACCTAATCGTGAGAAATACACCAGAAAAACCCAGACTGGAGGACATTCTGCAAAATACCTGAGCAGTGTTTCCTCCTAAGACTGCCAAGTTCATGAAAACCTAAGGAAAGACTGAGAAATGGACACATCAGAGGAGACAGGAGATGCTACAGCGAAATGCAGTGTGGTACCTTGGATGGGATCCTGGAACAGAAATCGTAAATGAGGACACAAATGGAGAGACGGGTGAAATTGTAATGAAGTCTAGAATGGAGTTAAGAATAATGCACCCGTGTTGACTTTTCAGCTGTGACACATTTACTAAGATTATGTAAGATGTTAGCAAGAAGGGAAACTGGCTGGGCGTGGTGGTTCATGCCTGTAATTCCAGCACTTTGGGAGGCTGAGGTGGGAGGAACTCTTGAGCCCAGGAGTTCGAGACCAGCCTGGGCAACGTAGTGAAACCCCATTTTCAATAAATAAAAAAAAAATTTTAAACTGGGGAGACTTGGCAAGGGTATAGGAGAACCTCCTGAACTATTTTTAAAATTATTTGGTAAATCTAAAATGACTACACAAGACAGAAAGACTGAAAAACAAGCTTAGAATCTAAAATGTTGAATTGTTTTGATTTTCTCTTACTTGAGTTGCAGGCATCCGTTTCATTTTTTCACCCATAGGGCTTTGAATTCTCTAGGTCCCCAGACCTAGTGATTCAGGAGAGGAACTCAAGAGCAGCCTGTGGCCTGCAGTGACTGTCATGAAGCCTTTCTGCGTCATCTGTGTCTTGGCCGATGCTCCTCCAGGGGAATTTCCTGCTGTGTTCCTGGGGAACACATTCAAGCAGCAGTTCATCCAGTTATGTATTTGCTTAGAGTCATCCGGATGTCAAAGTACGCATTGTCACGTCATGGTGAAGGCGGAGAGTCACGATAGTCATCGATGGAGCACTCTAGACTCTGGGGGTAGCATTCTGTGCCTCTTTTCTCATTCCATCTTTTCAGGTGCATAATACCAGGGGAGGATGGCGGAACTTAGAGAGGTTCAGACACTTGTCGGACATCACGCACGTGGAAAGAGAAAGAGCTTGAAATGGGTTTGAACAAAGTTCTTCCTGAAGCCAGAGTCTCAAACGGTTGTTACGTAGACTGTGAAAGCTTCAGAGGGTTTTCAGATATGATCTGATACCGAGACGAGGCAACGATGGTTTGCGAGCTGAATCCCATCTTCCACTCCCAGAGAACGTTCTGGAGGAGCTGCGCAGCGGGTTTGTGGTTGCGTCTCCTTTGATTATTGCTTTTCTGTCCTTTTCGGATGGAATTCATGGTCAGCATTTGAAAAATAGGGAGATTTCACTTTCCAATGTCAGACTTTCGTGTTGTTCGGACAGAAAGGTAGGCTCTGGGCTACATTGGGCATCCTTCCTGCCTGGAGCTGAGTCCTGATTTCCAGTTAAGGGGCACGTATCGTTCTCTAGTTCACACCCCTTCCCGCCCTCACCCCGTCCGCTAACTCACTTTGCTCCTTTGCTTTCTCTATCTGGCCCCTGCCGTTGGCCGTAACGAAGTCCAATTCACCGGAGAGGAAATTGCTACTCAGAGAGGGGTAGTGACTGCTCAGAAGTCACCTAGCAAACCTAAATAAATGTCCTTCTGGTGAGCGCTCGTTTATGAGACAGCAAACTGGCTCTCCGATGTCCTGTGCCTGTCTCTTGGCCGCCTCCCCCATGGCTGACTTATTTCAGCCTCCTGTTGGGTCACATTCTCCGGGTCACATCTTTTCTACTTAAGCACCCCAAGAGGGGCTGCGTTGCTCTCAGGTTGTTTTAACGCTTTACAGGAAAGCCCTTTCTTTGTCAAAGACCCTCAAAATGAATAAGGGTTGAACCTTTCCTCTTAGGGGGATGAAAACCTTGTGGAGACTTTTAAACTGTAGCTTCATCTTAGAAGGAGGAGCGAAAGAGAAAAGGAGGGAGACTGGATAGAAAAAGAAAGGAAGAAAGGAAGGAAGGAAGGAAGAATGACAAACCAGGGAGTGACACAGCTGTGATGTTGATTCCTTTCTGTAGTTAGTTCTGGTTTTCTTCCAGGAAAGCAGGTAGAAGTGTGAGTCAGTTCCCACGTCAGTCTTCAAGCCAGCCATGATTGATTGACATAAATGAGATTCTCTGAGACCCACGTGCCAAGGCAAAGATTTTGCAGGGAAGATCTCAGACCATCTCTAACCTTAAAAAAAGGTACTTCTGGCCGGGCATGGTGGCTCACGCCTGTAATCCCAGCACTTCGGAAGGCTGAAGCGGGCAGGTCACCCGAGGTCGGGAGTGCAAGACCAGCCTGAGCAACATGGCAAAACCTCGTCTCTACTAAAAATACAGAGAAAAAAAATAGCCAGGCATGGTGACACATGCCTGTCATCCTAGCTATTTGGGAGCCCGAGGCAGGAGAATCGCTTGAACCGGAGGTGGAAGTTGCGGCGACGGGTTCGGGGACGGTCGTCGCCGGCGGTCGGGCTCCACCTGGCGGCCGCTTGTAGATCGTCCTCCTGGCGCTCCGGAGCTCCGGCGGCAGCTGCCGAGGGAGGGGACCGTCCCCGCGGGGAGCCGGGCGGGGCTCCGGAAAGCCTGCGGCCGTCGGCGGGGCCGTCCGCGTGGCGCCGGAGC